AATAAAACCGAACCGAATTATGAAATTTAGTTCGATTTTAAATGTAAAATTATACAATATAAAACCGAATCGAAAAAACCAAAATTATTTCGATTCGATTCGATTTTTAGAAAAAAATTCGGTTTCGATCGAAAATCGAAATAAATAGTATAAAATTTCCTAATTTCTAAATCCCTAACTTTTCAATCTTCATTCTTGCTTAAACCGAAACACGCAGATGGGAAGTAAATTTTGAGAACCGTTTGGGTAAGAAAAGAAAGTGACGAGTGTAATTAATTGGGATAAAGTGTGTTTGAATAACAAAATCAATTACACTTGGATCGATTTTCATTAAAGCCTAGTTAAAATCTTCAAGGGCTTTGTGATTGTCTATAAAAAGGATTAATTGATAACAAGATGTTACTTCATTGACTAATGGACTAAGTGCTAGTACAAAATATCTCTCCGTAATGGTTTTTTTTTTTTACAAGCAAAATATTTCGGTTAAAACCGAAATATTTCGAAACTAAACCGAAATAATTTGATTACAAATCGAATTTATCAAACTTATTTTGGTTCAGTTTTGATTTTTATTTTTCTTAATTCGATTAATCGAAAATCGAATCGGATCGTATAAAAATCGAATTGTTTAACCAAATGATCATCTTTAAAAAAAAAAAAAATGACAAACCCGAGGCAGCAGAGAGGCACGTTGACCAGGGCCGACAAAATACACTCGTAGCATGTGGGAACGATTTCAGTGTCTGTAGTGTTCGATCCGACGACATCTAAAAGCTATGGGCCGAACGATTCTCCTAAGGCGGTGCGTATTGACTAAATATAAACTGTGGAGGTGGCGCTCTTCCTCTCTCTTCTCTCTCTCTTTTTTTTTTTTTTTTTTTGCTAGGGTTCCTTAAATGCGTTGTCCGTGTCTGAATGAGAGGTAGGGTAGTATATTTATAACGTGCATAGGTATGTCATATTAGGATTTCTCTTTTGATTATATATATATATATATATATAACAGGAATGGGCCTGGCGCTAGCCAAGCGTGCGCTTAGGCTGTCAAGCCAGTCTCTTCCTTTTTTTTTTTTTTTTAGAGGGACAAACATTAGGTGATGACAATTGATAAATATACCAATAGAATATACTGTAACTAATGATCTACCAAAAAAATATTCTATAAGTAAATAAGTTTTTTTTTTTTTGTAAATTTCTTTTTAAAAAATTAAAATTTCCTTGTTATTCAATCGGTAATGGAAATAAAGAAATTTAAATTTCATTAGTAATTGAAAATTTTTAAATAAATCAAAACAAAAATATCAATATATATTATTCAGTATATTGATTAATGGAATTGTTTTTTTTTTTTTTGGAATGAAATTTCATGCACAAAAAGAAAAACAACAATTAAACAAACCTATACATTAATAGAAGTCCAAAAATTATAAACAAACCGGTAATATTAATATAAACAAAAAACGTGAACCGAATTCGTAAAATCCAAAGCATCTTTGCATCATTATCAAACACAATCTCAAACACCATAACAAAATTACAAGTAATAATAATAAGAACAACAACAAAAAAATAACATAGTATCTAAAAAAATATTTAATCATAATATCTACCGAAAATAATTAAGTGCCAAAAAAATTGTAAGAAGAAAATGTAAGAAAGATGAGAACATATATATGCCAAAATTTGTAGTGCCAATAGAATTCATGACAAAATGTTCCGTTGGTATTTTTTTTTTCCGTAGAAAAACCAAAATTTTGATGGATTTTTAATTTATTGATAGATTTTCCAATGAATGTTTTAATAATAATAATAAGTATTATTATCTATCAAAAAAAATTAAAAAATTATATATATATATATATATATAGAATTTTCGTCGAGTAATTTTATCATAAAACACAAATAAAATAATTATATATTTTCCATGAATAATTACCAACAAAATATTTTTGCTATAATTCAAGAAATTTTATAATACACAAGGAGTAACTAGTGACATGTAGAGTAGCTACTCCATGGACCCACTTTGAGGAGAGAGATAGACACATTGAATTATATACGAATCCATAAAAAGTGATAAGAAGATTTTCAAGTTCACTTAATTTTTTTTTTAATTCTCTCTCTCTCATTTTTGTATCTTTCTTTCTCTTCAAAGTGGATCCATATAATAACTACTGTACATGTCACTAGTTATTCCTTGTGTATTATAAAATTTCTCATATAATTTCATTAATAAAGAACAGCTTATTTGGTAGTAGTAGACATTAATTTTGCATGACCTTGCAAGATAAACTCTTGAAGTAGAATCAAAATTTATTTATTTGGAACAACATTTCTTTATTAAATTAAATTATAAGGCCCCGTACTAATTCTTTTTGAAAACCATACACAATTCCACCTTTACTTATAACAATTAACATCAATTAATGGTCAGGTAAGGATCATTGGTTTGAAGTCTTAAATTTATAAATGAAAGAAATTTTAAAATACTCAAACTATTAAGTTTTAATTATATTCTAATTTGAAGAGAAAAATAGACAAAAAAAAAAAAAAAGATAAAATTATTTCGAAATTCATCAGAAGTAATAAAAATATTTCTATATAAACTTTCTCTCTTCTCTTTGTTTTTATCTATCTCTTATAAAACAAGTATTATTAATTACAATTTAAATATCATAGAATTTCTCTATGCATAGCTTAAAATTAGCAAGGTCCCCTCCACTGAAAAAATAGCAATAAGATAAAGAATGTGGTTGACGTGGAATTTGCAAAAGAGGGAGTCAGCTATACCAAGTTCTGGCTAAGTTATGGAATCGTGATTCCATCCCATCCCATCCCGATCCATAAAGGCTGACTATCGGCCTCAGTGTTTTGGATATTGCTCAATCCATAGGGCTGATGGAGGGTCAAAACAAGTGATGTTTTAGTCAACCATCAAGGCTTACAATGTCGAGAAAGAAAGTGAAAAGAAAAAACCTAGGAAAAAGACATGATTGTCGAAACAAATGGATTCGTTAACATTCTTGCATGACACTCGACTAGGCAAGATACCCAATTGAGTCATCCATTGGCTTTTTTCAAGCAGAGGAATCGTCCATCTACTAAATGTAATGATATTAACTAATTAAATATTCACGTTAGATAACCATTATATATATATATATATATAATTAATATAAATCGAATCTATTTATTATAATATCGATAAAGAAAGGAAAAAAAACTTAGGAAAAAGACATGGTTCTCGAAACGAAACAAATGGGTTCGTTAACATTCTTGTATGACACTTGACTAGGCAAGATACCCAATGGAGTCATCCGTCGGCTTTTGTCAAGCAGAGGAATTATCCATTTACTAAATGTAATAGTATTAATAGTAGACAACAACAACCTCAAATACCAATCGAGTCATCTGTCTTTGATTTTGTTAGAATAATGAAAGAGAAAAGAAAAACATATGTTGTCAAGAGTCACAAGTAATAGGACTTCAAAAATACTTGCAATTTCTTTTTTTAAAAAAAGATATCTTTGAGCCAACTTGCGTGTCAATCCTAACTAGACTAATATTGGACAGATTGTGGATGCAGAGACTGACCGCCAATGTTATAGCTGATAATGATATATTGAATTATTATTCCAATCTATTGCTTTTCCAATTATTCGTTTTGTTCAACTCAATAGTTTTTGATATTCTATTCTAACATAAAATGAGTAAATTATAAATTAATCCCTCTATTTTTAAGAAACAAATTAATCAACCTCTTTTATTTCAAAACCCAAATATTAAGCTATTGAATTAGTTAATTTAATATAACTTTATTTCATAAAATATGATATTTTCTTGTTAATTCTTTTATGCTTTTGTATTTCTTAAAACAAAAAATCAAAATAACATGAAAAGGAAAGAAAATGATTAAGTTACGAGAATTTTTTTAAAAAACTAAATTCAATTTTAAAACAAAAGGAACTGATTAATTTGTTTCTTGAAACTAGAGGGATTAATTTATAATTTACTCATCGTAAAATACACAGTCGCCATGAAGCAGAGAGAAGACAACTCCTCCATTATTGGAAGAAGCATAAACGAGGCAAACAGAACATTTGGGCTTTAAGAGTTCTCCATCGGAGTAAATTTCAAGACTTGCTCAGATCATGGTTCAGCCCAATTCAATCTTCCAGCTATGATTATTTGCGTCAAAATATTTTGAACCCTAATACTCGAGACGTTCATCTGAAGTGCTCTGTGGCATTGTGCAGCCTTAATTGTAGCTGTTCCCAGTTACAGGCTGTTAATGGCGTGGATTAAAATTTGATGCCATGCCTCTCATTAACCAAATGGGCTTACTGCAGGAAGCTCTGTGACTCAAAACCCTACCTAAATGGGAGGAATCCATTTTAAAGAAAATTGAGAATGAAATCAAGTTGGTGAAGAAAGCAGCAACGCATTGCGCTATCAGCTAACACAGCATTTTGAGTGCAAATTGCATGGTAGATCTCTTTCAGAATGAAAAAAATGAATTAAGAATGTTCATAAGCATGACGTAAGACTTAGGGTTTAATGAAAGATATAAAGTCTTCTTAAACAAGATCAACAGTTTCATCATCACAAATAAATAACATTAATATTAATAATAAAAGGAAATCACAGCAGGATGGAATAGTAAAATAGAAATGGGGGAAAACAGATTTTAAAGATAATTACCAAATCACATCAAATGTGCACTTGCAGTAGCCCTCACCCGGATAGAACCACAACAAAGAATCAATCTAAAAGAGAACTTGGAACCTGACAATTCTTTTAAAGCTTTTGCCTCCTAGAGAATGGTGTCCCATCATAAGTTGGAGAACTTTACATAAGCTATCATGACTCTAAACTAAATATTTCATCAATGCATTGGATCTTATATGTGTCTTGGTAAAAATTAGATGAGCCTGACACCTAATCGTAATGTACAACAAACATGGTTCCAAGCAGAAGGCATGACCAAAAGCTAAATTGGATCACCTGCTTTTCGACTCATTCTCTGCTAGCTTCTTCCTTAGATCCTTGAGAGCATCGACAACTTCAGAATCAAGATTGTGTTTTAATAATCTACCCTGAAAGGAAGTCGGCCTGAGCAGATAAACAAACGTATTAACCATTTTGATACGGAAAGTTCTTCGGAGTTGAATGATAAATGCAGTCCAGTGAGAGTAAAAGTCAGTTGAGATGAATTAAAGATTCAATGCAACTGTAATAAAATGAATTACAGTAGTAAATAGGATTTGGATCCCAAGGACCCTTTATCTTGCCCCAAAGGTCACCCATTGTCTTTTGAAAAATAACAAAATTGATATACCAAACTCTTCATGCAGAGATTTTATTTTATTTTATTTTTTTAATTTATACCGTAGAGAATCTTTTCCATGACTTTCCTTCGGTCAGATCAAACTAAATGGCGGTAGGTGAAATCATTGGAAGGCTTATAAAAGGGCTTATGAAAGGAGAAAAAAATATTTCACAAGATGTGACAGGCTTTTATCCACTGGGGTTCCTATATTCAAATCAAACTAAATAGGCTGGTAGGTGGATATCATTGGCAGGTCTATGAAAGAGGAACAACTTGTTACAAGATGTGACCGGCTTTCACAAGTTCGGGTTTTTGTGAAGATTTCAATGAATGGGGATTCGTGAAGCCATGTCGCTAGCGTACCCGCATACATCAGCAAAAGGACGCTTGAGCTGTAACTCCTATTTTTTTACTCAAGAATGTCAGCCGTAGGAAAGGAACAATTCTATTCAATCAAGACTTGAATAAAGGGCCTGTGGCAGTTAGGATTTAGTGCTGACTGAAGACTGAGGACTCGGTCTATTTCATCCAAATGTAACTCATAGTTTCTTCTGACCCTATCATTTGGCCAAAGACAAGATATCTCAGCAGTAAAATAAGACCAACAATGTCTCATGTCCTAATGCTTTTTTAATAGCAAAATAAACTGTTCATAAATTTATGTCTAATAAAGCATACCTTTGTTCTTGAAGTGCCCTCTCCACCTCTTTCTGTGATGCTTTAATCTACAATCATAAAATTGGACGAAAATGAATAGTAAACAGCAAATACAAACTACTGATTTGTTACACAAAATACTTAAACATCAAAGAACATTAAAAGAAAAGAAAAAAGAAAAGAGTGCCTCACTTCAGAAACCAAGGCCTTGGAACTCCAAACAAAGGCACCCTACCACAACAGTATAAAACAAAAGCCTCAGGAAATTAACTGAACATCATAAGTCCCAGGTAAAAGAAGACAGAAAAGTTAAGTAGCATCGTCTTAACAACAAGGTGATTTCATCCCACAAAACAATACAAAGATATTATTTTGATTTTCAAGAAACAAGTTTGATATTCTATATGAAAAGGATTGAAATAGGAAACTATACAGTTTAGGGCAAGAATAAAGTGTCATTTCTTTTTTCTTTTTTCTTTTTAATTTGGATTGACAGCACATTTACATAAACAGCAGAAACTGAGTCCAAAACCGGGGGAAGAAAAAAAAACTATAGTAATATACTTTGGCACAATTTTTCTCAGAGGAAGCTAGCAGAAGATTCAATCTTATGATAAGGAATTATTGCCAACGGACTGGAGACCTAACGGCATAACCCGCCTTGCATTGTCTCAAACCCAAGTTTAAATAAGAACGGCATAACCCGCCTTGCATTGTCTCAAACCCAAGTTTAAATAAGGCCCTCCCTCCCTCCCTCCCTCCCTCAAAACAATACAAAGATATTATTTTGATTTTCAAGAAACAAGTTTGATATTCTATATGAAAAGGATTGAAATAGGAAACTATACAGTTTAGGGCATGAATAAAGTGTCATTTCTTTTTCTTTTTTTTTCTTTTTAATTTGGATTGACAGCACATTTACATAAACAGCGGAAACTGAGTCCAAAACCGGGGCAAGAAAAAAAAAACTATAGTAATATACTTTGGCACAATTTTTCTCAGAGCAAGCTAGCAGAAGATTCAATCTTATGATAAGGAATTATTGCCAACGGACTGGAGACCTAACGGCATAACCGCCTTGCATTGTCTCAAACCCAAGTTTAAATAAGGCCCTCCCTCCCTCCCTCCCTAAATACATGTGTGTGCTTGCATATGCGTGTGTGAGAGAGAGAGAGAGAGAGATTTGGAACTAAAAATGTCATAAAAATTACAAGTCAATAAAGATAAGCAATTATAAGGAAAATGCATACTGCTCCATATGCCGCATGCTGCTGAATATGATCAGAAGTCACAACCCACACTTTTGGACATCCATCTTCCTTCAAGGCAACAACCTGTTACAGAAATAACATTCCAACGCTAAACACAAAAGATAACAACAAGCAAACGAAACAGCAAAAAACAAGAAAATTGTCTTCAAGCACACCACCAGTCTCCAAACAAATAATGGCATAACAAGGGCAACCACATTACTGCAGATATGCACAAGGTTGCTACTCAGGATGTGAAACTCTTGCATGCAGAAAAGAGGTGGGACCCTGAACCCAGAATCTTCTAACATGTGAACATTTTACTCAGAATATCTGCCTCACAAGCAGATACAGGAAAACACAGTTTAAGATTTTCCTTGCGGCGTACACTATGATAAGAAAATCCTAGCCTCTGATAAATCAACCAAGATATTGATAAATCAATGTAGAAGTGCAATTCCTGACCCAAAATGTGGTATAAAGAAATAATTGAAAAGGTAGGGGTAGGAAAAATGACGATGCACACCAATGATGAAAAAAAAAAAAAAAAAAAAAAACTCTACACAGTTACCTCTAGCTGATAAATAATGGCATGAAAACAACTCATCGCCGCAACATAGAAAATATAAGGTTGGCAATTCTACTGCTAATACAAGGTGAACCATGGTACATCAAACATATCTAACATCAGTATATGTCATTTTTTTTTCTTCTCCATTTTGGTAATATTTGGAAGTTTGTTGGGCTTTGAGCTGCCCAGCAGGGGCATCCTTTTCTTCTCACACAAACCTTCTGCCTCCACAGGAAACCTAGAATGGAATTTGGACCCAGGACCTCTAATATGGAACCAGAGATGAAGCCATAGGGGTGTCCCCCTAAGAACATCATTATTTAAAGAAAAGATCTTAATGTCCTTATCAACTTGACATAAAAAATACCTCTTTTTCAATCCATGCATCAGCACAAGATTCACCTGTGAAAACTATGTCGACACTGCAAATTGCGAATGTTTCATGTCAGAACACAGAGGATTATATCAACAATACACAGAAAGATATTTAATAATATAGGTTAAATTACAAATTAACACAAATCACTCACAACCAATATTATATAGCAAGGTAAAAAATGATAGGCTGGGCACACAATAAAGCCATCAGTAATAATACTATCTTTTATACAAAATAAAGGTGCACAAATCCCATTACATTTGCAAAATCAAAGCTCTTCCACCTACAATCGACACTCCATAATCTTTGACAGTATTGTCATTCACTGGAAGCAACAAGTAGGATTCTGAAGTTTGAAGAGTGACCTATAAATACAGTGAAGGAGTATGCTCCAGCCACACAAACAGAAGAAAAACATGCAGAAACGTTTTTTGCACATGTGCACACATGATCATCTAATTGCAAGATCAGTTACTCAAACTCGACTAAGCCTTAATCATAAAAATTGGGATCGGACATCAACTTTCTATACGTAGTTAGTCAGGGCATTAATCAGCCTATTTTCAACAATTAGCAAATTTTTATGAAACATAAAACGGAGTTCCCAAGTAATCCCATTTATAAGGATGATGAAATCTCGATAATCATCGAGAAAATAGATTATCACAAAAGGTGGCAACTATAGATTAGAATTGTAAAAGTACCCAGCAAAATTTTCCTTGTGCGTAGGCAGCCCTGACATCATTGCATCAAAGACAACCACCACTTTCACGTCTGTAAATATTTAAAAAATAGCAGAGATATAAGCATCAATGTTTGGGAAACAAGTAGTAATTCATTTTGCATACTGAACAGAAGGCAACATCACAACATTTTGTAGCAGCTCCACATTGATTTATTTGAAGAAGACGTTTCAACATTACTTAAGAAAGTAGAAGCAAATTGATGCAAGTTAAGTGAAGATGACATTAATCTGTGGAACACAATCACAAATAACCACCAAGCCAAAATTCACAAGCACTAATTCGGCAAGAATCAACTCCCAAACACCCTCAAATCCAAACCAAATAAGAAAATAAATAAAGATAAGTAAGACCAAATATTTCAGCCTCGATGGAGTAGAAATGTTCGACCCAATGCATGCTCCTCCAAGCTTGAACATTCAGCCAAAGTGGAACTTGGAACCTTTGGCCCTGACTTGGCAACACTCTAGTGTCAGAGATGACCGAAAATCAAAGGAAAATCTGGATTTAAAGTGAAGAGTTACTAATTAGTTCTCCCAGGTTCATGAATATCAATTGCTTGTACGTATGGTCAAAGTTCAGATGAGAACTGAAGCACCAGTCATGTAACGACTCTTATTCATTAAAGTAAAAGGAGAACAAGGTACAAACCTCTGGCCAAACTGAAGGCTACAAGTTCATCTGTTAACTTTTGGCGTGCAATATCAAGTCTTCCATTCATAAAATGTTTCTTCAGTTTCGCCCAGTATCCACATACATTATACCCATCAACAAGCAAGACAGGGACTCCAGTGTCTACTATCTGGTTCGTACTGTACATCATAGTTAGCAGAGCAAAGAGCAATGCTTTTCCAGTAGGCCTAAAAGTGGATGCTCAAACAAAAAAAATAAATAAGGAAGAAACCTGGAAAGAATATTACTAGTAGAGACTCAAGGTAGGATCGCGGTAGAGCTCTGTATCCTCTGGAAGGTCTTCCTTCTCCACCTTCTTTCTGCGGTAACTAGTAGAAGGCTTAGGTGTGCTAGACTTCCTCTTTTGGAACTCCTACAAAATCCTCCATCAGATTAGATTGTGGACAGGAATGCCACAAAGGCATAGCATATCTCAGTCGAGAACCAACCTTCCATATCTTTAAAAACTGCAAATTCTGCTTGACGTTTGATGTGATTCTTGGAGGAGTTGGCTCGGAACCCTGTTGATGAAATGATTGTTAAAAGAAGTCTAGAGTGGATACTGACATCTAGAAATACGCAAGAATCATTACACGTCGACCTTGAATATGCTTCTAAGACCAAAAACCTCTTCCAAACTGTTTCAACACTCTGAATATATTTGCTCAAATTGATGAGATGATTCTTAGGACGAAGATATCCCATTATTGCTCAACATGAGATCTAAGATACATCTGTACTCCCTGATCATGTTCGATTTCATTCCATTCGAACTTGGGGGATAGTATGTTCATATTAAAAGGACTGTTCAGCTAATTCTCAGGTAAACATTATTTAGTCTAAAATCTCTTCTGGTATTTCCCCATATATAAACTTTATTGTTCTCAGATCTCAAGCCAAGTACATTGATGCAAATAGCTGATAATTGGGCGTTAACAAAACAGAACAAACTGTTGACATAAATTAATTAATCAAAATCATGAATATGGGGGTTGCACAATGGTATAGAGCAACAATTTATTAAAACAAAAAACAAAAAGAAGAGTAAGGGACAGGAAATAGAGAGTAAAGAGAAATGGGGAAAAGAACCTTGTTAGGAGAAGAGGAGGAAGGCTGGAACTTCTTGCCTTTGGCCATTAAAATAACAACCCTGCAGTTGTAGTGTTGACAAGAAGAGGAAGAACCACCATATGGAGATGGAAATGCAACTGCTTTCATGGATGGAATCACTCACTCACTTTGCTTCTTCTTCTTCTTCTTCTTCTTCTTAATTGAATAAATTGTTGGGGTCTTGGAGTTTTGAACAACCTATCTACATGGAACAGTAGTAGTAGTAGTCAGTTGTACATGACAAGACTCGGTGAAACTGAATGTGAAAGAGAAGGATAAATATGAGGTTGTTATCAGGAGAGACAGACAGGACATCAAATGTGAACCAGAACAATCCTCTCATGTCAGTCCCGTCATCATCTCATCTAGGCTTCTAAGACGAAGAAGAGAACCAAATTTGAGACAGCCCTCAAAAAAATTTGCCTTGGGCTTTGGGCCTGTTTCTATTAGCAACAGATAGATATGCATTTCTCCATACATTTTGGGCTTCTCCACGATTGGTGAAGCCCATGATTTCGCTACTCAAAAGATATTTTCAAAAAAGCCCTTGTAATTTCTTATTTCGCTAATTAATTAATCATTTCGTCAATTCTCCGTTTATAAGGTGCTGAAGCGTTCTCAAATTTGTAGTTTTATTTTTATTTTTTTTAAAAAAAGCCCTTTGTTTGTTATCAAATTTTCCATCTCCCGACTTTTCGTTTCAAAACAAAAGAACTAAATAAATTGAAAACAAAAATTGCTAAGTAATAATTATTAGTGTAAGAGTGAGATAAATCCATGGAAATAATGCCTAAATATTGGATGAACAGTTCTCGTAATCAATGTTCATACACTATTTAGATATCATTGCCATGAATTTAGTTTTTTCTGCTATAGATTTAGTTCAACTCCTAACACGATCGAACTATAAAATGTTCATATCTCCTCTCTTTGTTTTTTTTTAAGAGAAAGGAAAAACAACTAGAAAGATTTTTTTTTTGGCATTCTCATTACTTTCTGATTGCTACCGATGAAATGGTTTTTAAAATTCTTAAAAGATCAATTAATTAATGAAATACAAAACTATAAGAATTATTCTCAATAGTAATAATTATGACGTCGTTATATTTTTTCAATTGTGATATACCAATATTAAGAATATTTATTTTGATGTTGTCGTGTTTTTTCAATTATGATATGTCAATATTAAGAATATTTGTTTTTTGAATGTGTGTAAGAGATTTTTGATAACAAAAATTAGATTTTTCTATTTCTCCATCTTTTTATGTAACTTGATAAAGTCTTAGATTATATAAACACTTAAAAAGCTTAAAGTTTTAATTAGATTTTGAATCTCTTTGCATTCATATTAGAATCACTGCATCAAGTTTTTTTCAGACACCATCCTTCTTCGTACATTAACTTGGAAAAAAAGTCACATCGTTATACATCATTGGTCGAGATTCACAGCCTCATCAGACAATACACACGTAACAGAATCCATGTATACGCTAGCTACAACATGCATGGAGGCCACGTCCTATCCAACACCAAGCTTAGCAATGCATTAATATATCTTTACTGTAATTCCTTAAGTTGTAGAAGGAAACTCCATCAGGAAGCACCGAGTCAATAGATTCTTGCTGTCAAACTTCCCTTTAGCATCCCATAGTGGGAGAATATGAACCAGGTTCTCCAACAAACCTAATTCATCAACATTCTAAGGTTAAAAAGAGAACAACAGATGCTTTTTTTCAGGTAATCTTAGTCTAAAAGAGAACAACGGATGCTTAATTTGATTTTTTCTCAGGCCAGGTTATCTTTTTCAAAGGAATCAATTAATTAGAAAACAGTTCGGAATCCACTATCAAGTTTGAACACCTTTATTCTTTGCATAAACATGTCCTGATTTGATTTTGTCAATAAGTACATGAATTAATTAATTAACTAAAATATAGTCCAAAATACATGCTGCTTAAACTGAAAGCACTGGTTGATAAGATTAAGCAGCACACAAATAATACTGCTTCATCAATTGTCTTGTCAAACAAGAAAATGAGAAAATCACTTTGGTTTCTTGTGATTCTTCTAGCTGTATTCACAGCTTGCTCTGCGTATAGTGAACTTGAAGTACTATTGAAGCTCAAATCCTCAATGACAGGACCTAAGGGTTCTGGACTCGAGGATTGGGAGGTCCCATCACGACCGTCTCCCTCTGCTCACTGTAATTTCTCTGGAGTTACTTGCGATGAGGATTTGTGGGTGGTGTCTCTGAATGTGTCGTTTCAAAATCTTTCCGGTTCAGTTCCTCCTGAGATTGGATTCTTGCTCAAATTGGTGAACCTCACCATCGTAGGGGATAATCTCACTGGGATACTCCCTGTGGAGATGGCCAACCTTACATCTCTCAAGATTCTAAACGTCTCCAACAATGCGTTCAATGGCAGTTTTCCTGGAGAGATCACTCTTGGCATGACCCAGCTAGAGATTCTTGATATCTACGACAATAACTTCTCCGGCTTGCTACCAATCGAGCTTGTCTACCTGAAGAATCTCAAGCACCTTCATCTTGGAGGGAACTTCTTTTCTGGCAATATACCGGAGTCGTACTCGAAGATTCAAAGCTTGGAGTTTTTAGGCTTGAATGGTAATTCACTCTCTGGCAAGATCCCAGCAAGTTTGGCTCGCTTGAACAACCTCAAACAAATTTCCCTTGGTTACTTCAACGCTTATGAAGGAGGTATTCCACCTGAGTTTGGTTCTTTGAGTTCACTTGAATATCTTGATGTAGCATCTTGCAGACTCTCTGGTGAGCTTCCTTCAAGTTTAGGCCAGTTAAAAAATCTCCAAAAATTGTTTCTACAATATAACAATCTAAGTGGTCCAATTCCACCTCAACTCTCCAGTCTGTTACGTTTGAAGGTTCTGGATCTCTCAGTCAACAACCTCACAGGAGAGATTCCTGAAAGCTTCTCCGAGATAAAGAGTTTCACGCTAATAAATCTATTCCTGAACCATCTAGTTGGTCCAATACCCAAGTTCATTGGTGATCTGCCAAATCTGGAGGTGCTGCAGATATGGGGAAACAACTTCACATCCCAACTACCTGAAACTCTTGGCCAGAACGGGAAGCTTGTGGTTCTAGATGTTTGTTACAATCATTTAACGGGACCAATTCCTCGTGATTTATGCAAAGGGGGAAAGCTGAAGTCTTTGATTCTTATGAGTAATTCCTTCTCTGGGCAGCTTCCTGAGGAACTAGGAGAGTGCAAGTCCTTGAACAAACTCAGAATCATGAGTAACCGCTTCAATGGAACCATCCCCGCTGGAATCTTCATTATGCCCCAGTTGAGCATCATGGAGTTGCACGATAACCATTTCTCCGGCGAACTTCCATCCGAGATTTCCAGCGATGCACTGGAGACACTAAAAGTTTCGAGAAATGAGATTTCAGGAAACATTCCACCGGCCATCAGTAACTTGGGAAACTTGCAAACTCTATCGCTTGAACATAACAAATTTTATGGTGAGATACCAAGAGAAATTTTCCATCTCAAGCACCTTTCAAAACTCAATATTAGTTCAAACAATATCAGTGGTGAAATCCCATCTTCCATTTCTGAATGCAATTCTTTAACATCCATTGATCTCAGCGCAAACAGCCTCAGTGGTGAGATTCCAAGTGGGATTGCCAAACTAATAAATCTCGGGGACTTGGATATTTCTCAAAATCACCTCAGTGGTCAAATACCAAGTGAAATTGGATCTATGTCAAGCCTTGTAGCTCTTAATATCTCCTATAATAATTTGTCAGGTAGTGTTCCAGCTAGTGGGCAGTTCCTGGCTTTCAACAATACATCATTTGTTGGAAATCCTAACCTCTGCGATTCAAGAATTGTCTCTTGTCCCTCTCAGCTACTATATTCAGCTCAGGTCTCAAATCAAGGGTGCATGGCCTGGTTTTATAGTTGGAAGCTCATGTTCATCAGCCTGGCACTTCATTCTTATCTATGATCCTCACATAGCTAGTGTTGGAAAGTACCTTTTTCTGATTTTGTAAATGCAAGTTTCTGTGTTAATTAGTAACGTTCCTGCTAATTATTTGTATACAATTTGATTAATTAGTCCAATAATGGGAGCCACTTTGTAAAAAAAAAAAAACATAAAAATTATGCCTAATAAAATAAGAGTAAATTATAAATTAGTCCCTCTATTTTTTTAGAAATGAATTAATTAGTTATTCTTGTTTTAAAAAGTAATTATTTAGTTCTTCAACTAGTTTTTTTTTTTTTTAACTCACGCACCTACCATACACATGCAAAACTTTTAACAGAACTAATATGCTAAAATTTGAATTAGTGACAATAATTACATTTAGTTTCAATAAATGAATCAATTAATTTTTTTATTTAAAATTAATTAATTATTTTTTATATTTAAGATCTTTTAACTTAATATTTTTTTTTCAATTTATTTTGATTTTTTGTTTTAAAAAAGAAAAAAGTAAAAACTAATATCGATTGAAATTATTATTAGCCTCCTTATCACTTTATTATTATTATTGTAAGAAAGTCAATTTTCAGGTACCGAGAGAGTACATTCGGAGTTTTCTCTCGTCTGTTCTCACCATCAAAATGCAAACCAAATGAGATATGTTTAAACAAAGGTATCAACATTGAGGACTGAAATGTAAAAGAAGCTATAGAAACTAATGAGGGAAAAAAAAATGAAAAAATTAATTCCTACGCAGGAACGCAATCGCTGACACTGCTGGGAAGATGCTTGGTAAAATGCCGAAAAGAAAGTTAGTTTTTTTAGGTGAGTAACAAAAGTAGCATTGGATCACTCAAACTTATCATTATGATGCTCTAATCCTTCCTATTAAAAGTTGTATCATGGAACAACCACAACGCTAAACGACATAATCCTATCCATAAAAGCACAGATTCAATCAATGGCCAAGCAAAAGGAAGCAGTGTGTGTCACAGGAGCCAACGGGTTCATTGGCTCATGGCTGATCCGTACCTTACTAGAACAAGGCTACGCCACAATCCACGCCTCTATCTACCCAGGCTCAGACCCATCTCATCTCTTCAAAATCCCCAGAGCCACCGATGCTAGCGTGCGTTTGGAGGTCTTCGAAGCCGATGTGCTTGACTATGACGCCCTTTGCAAGGCTGTGGAAGGCTGCCAAGGGGTTTTCCACGTGGCATCTCCCTGTACGCTGGAGGACCCCAAGGACCCACAAAAGGAACTCGTGTTGCCTGCGGTACAAGGCACTCTTAATGTTCTGGAGGCTGCTAAGAAGTTTAAGGTTAGGCGAGTAGTTGTCACGTCTTCTATATCGGCTTTGGTTCCTAATCCGTCGTGGCCGAGGGAGAAGGTGTTTGATGAGTCGTCTTGGACTGATCTTGATTCCTGCAAGTCTCGCCAGGTAATTTAGATTTAGCATTTAAGAACCGTGTAAGATTGTTTTATTTTTGTCTCGTCTTATGTTGTACTTAGGTTGTCGAATCTTAGGATTTTTTCGTAAAATGAGCCAATTGCAGGACTCGAACGTGAAATGTTAGGCTGATAATCTCTAACAGGGGGGATTGTTTTAGATTATCTTTAATGTTTTAGATTAAATTAGGTTTTTGATTTATTCATTTGTTTATTTTTCGGAGCATTGTACGATGGCAGAAATGGTATCCGGTGTCAAAGACACTGGCAGAGAAAGCAGCATGGGAGTTTGCAGAGAAGAATGGAATGGATGTGGTGGCAATCCATCCTGCCACGTGTCTTGGTCCTCTCTTGCAGCCTGCATTGAACGCTAGCTGTGCTGTGTTACAGCAACTGTTGCAAGGATCGAAAGATACTCACGAGTATCATTGGTTGGGAGCTGTGCATGTAAAAGATGTGGCAAGGGCACAAGTTTTGTTATTGGAAACTCCATCTGCTTCTGGTAGGTATCTTTGCACCAATGGCATCTACCAGTTTGGTGATTTTGCTGAGAGGGTTTCCAGACTCTTCCCTGAGTTTCCTGTTTACAGGTTTGTACTTATAGGCCGCCAAGCTATCTTGCCTCTCATTTCTTGCATGTCCCACTAGCTAATTGCCCTTTAGTGACAGATTTATGAAAAACATACTTTGTTAATTTATACATAATTCTCACTGCCTATAACAGCATGCATTCGATCTTCTACTAATGAGATGGATATAATTAAGATCATATAACAGAGAAGGAAGATTGCTACTCATGTTCCTTTCCATCCTTCACATACATTTATTTATGTCTAAATTCTATTCCCCATTTCATGTTTGAAGGCTGAACTAATGCAGATTTTGGTAGCTGTTTAGAGGAAAGATTAGTACTGTTATCCATCAGAAGGTCTGTGGGCAGGATAATAGCCATATTCTTACTCGATCTGAAGGATGATTGACGATCTTATCTTTAATGTCACTATAAATTTCTTTTGGACGACATGATGGAGGTTTCATAATTCTTGATAGATTTGTACTTCAGTATACTCGTTTTCTTAAATGTTGGTGGAGTGATTGTGGGAGATAGTGGCAATAGTTGTAATGATGACTAGTTAGAAGAACATTTAGCACTTCTCCGAGTGGCACTTTAGTCTTCTGGCAACATTAAGGATAGTGGCCAACCATAGAAAACTTGACTTTTGTTTTCTGTTGATGGTAAAATAAAAGGGTGGGGAGAATTCAAAAAGAGATACGAATTAGACAAGTAATGCAATAGTACCTGGGTGGAGTCCCTGTGGCAAGATGATGTTATGACAAGCAGTGGCCGGTCCACACTGCATGTGGAGCGCAGGTGGACGTGAGATTTACTTTAGCCTCTCAATTATCAAACTCCCTCAAAAGCCTTTCTTGTCATATTACCCCCGTCTTTTTTATTGCCTTGTTATTCTGGTTCCTTTGTACAAATTTGGAAGCTTCTCCCTCTGCCATTCTGATATTACCAGTGATGTAATTCATTTCATTTTTTTTCCTTTTTTTCTTTTTTTGTGTGTTATGGTCCATTTCTCTTTCGGTTTGAAAGAATCCACCACACCCCAACCCCCCCAACCCACACACACACACACACCACAACAACATTGCATAACTATGTATTACTTTTGTCGATTGCCAGTTAATCTGCCACCTTTCTTTAACCTGGCCCCATCACATGAAGCTCCACTATGTAGTTTCTTGATGGTTATTGTAGAATACAGATTCCTCCTCACACATATGTCGACTGATAGTGTTGTTGCGTGTAGTTTGCATTGTATTGGATGCTCTCTAAATGACCTTGTTGAAGCTTTAAGACTTGTATTCTTCTCTGGAGCCCCCTTGAAGCTTCCTATATATGATAAAGATTTTCACATATTATCTTGGTTGTTCACCAGTAGATATTCCTCTTTTTTTAAAAAAAAAAAAAAAATGTGTATGCTGATGAAAACAAATTGATCTCACATTGAGAAGTAATATGTTACTGTTAGTTCTTTGTTTTCCTCTTGGCCTACTACTTTTGAATGATGAAGTTTAAGGGCATATCTGAGTGTCAAGATTGCATAAATGAAATCAATGATTGCATTCATCTCTCTTCTTATCTGCCTAGGCTCCAGATGGATTTCCTTATCATGACTGGCTATTATAATTATTTTTACTATGATCACATGCCTTTATTCAATTTCGTTGGAAGGAAGCCTTTGATTGGTTTGAAGAAAATTGCTTCAATAATCAGCCTTGTCTTAGATTTTCCATGAATGTGTGAGGTCCCTGTTTCCCTAGGCAAGTGAGAGTAGATCAGTTGGCAATGTATGCAATTAGGAAACAAGACAACCTGGCAGTCTTGTTTCAAACTGAACAAAGTGGGGAATTATATATCCAGTTAACTAAATCTAGAAGTTGTCATTTGTATTCTCAACCGTTTTAGCATCAATCAGTTGCTCCATATTTTAGTCTTCTAGTCATTTTTACGCTATTCAATTCAAATAATGTTTGTCTTTGTTTTGTCTAATTAAGGTTTTTGTTTGGTTGCGTAAGTGGATGTTCTTAACTCAAATCCCCTACAGGTTTAGTGGGGAAACTCAGCCAGGTCTGACAGCTTGCAAAGACGCAGCCAAGAAATTAATTGACCTGGGGCTAGTCTTCACTCCACTTGAAGATGCTGTACGAGAAACAGTGGAAAGTCTGAGAGCTAAAGGCTTCCTGAGGAATGAATTGTCCCAATCTTAGTTTTCTTTTAGAGCTAAAATTAATTTTCACTGTTTCTTTGCTTTTCACTGACAATGAAGAATGATTTTCTTTAATAATTCAATAACCTCCTTTTCGTCATCCTTTATATCTTTATTATTTCCCTAAAGTTCAATGTAATCCTTGATCTGATCATCATCATTTATGATGACAAGAAATCCACTTTCCTTTTTTAGTGTTAATAACTTTTGTAAATTAATGAATAGAAACCATGTTTTCGTTTTCTCTGGATCACATCCACTGGAAACCAAGGTTCAGTTTTTGTCTTTCACCAAGCCATCCCCATAAGCATGTGATGGTCAGTAGAATGGGTCCTAAAATTCTGAACCAATAGCAGAACTGAAGATTGAATCATCCCCTTGAACAAACAGACAGTAACATGTCAAGTGCTTCAAAGTAATGCAAACGGTTGATAAGATATATAAAGTACAAAAACTGATCTCTCTAACGCTAAGCACTAGTTTGGGGCCAGGTTTGCCCATCTTGCTGGTAGGCATGGAAGTTTAAACTTTGTCATGGCACGTGATGTGCTACTTATTGGGGTTGCTTAGTAGGGTCGATGTCACTTAGAACCAGGCCAAGCCAAGCTTTTTGGTTTTGGATCACGATGATATATAATAATAATAATATAGTGATTTTAAAGTCTTTAGTTAATCTTGGCTATAATTTTCATGTCTTTTCTCTCTCTCTTTCAGCTGTTCTTTAAAAGGCACCAACAGTCCATGTGCATAACCCTCCCCACCATTGGTTCTTGCTACTTTTTAGCAAGGAAAGAATCTAATCTTTTACCTCTCTCTCTCTCTAGAGACAGAGAGAGACGTGCAGTTCTAATCATGGAGGTTCTTCTGGCAATGCATGTGCATCAATGACCTCAGCCCACTTCGCATTATTTTACACTTCTCAGTCTCTCTGTCTAGCCAATCTTTAATTTAACATCTTCTTTTCCTCTTAATTTGGTGTGTGTGTGTGTGTATAAATACACAGACACACACACTCCTCTCAATATCTTTGCTCATCTCCTTGAAGTGAAAAGATAAGACTTGAAGGAGCAATTCTTGAACCAATGAACAGTTCTAGCCCAACACCTTGCAGTCGATCTTGGTAAATAGTACTACTGAACTTTGACACAAGTAGTGTTGTTTTCATTTCAGTCTCCTGATCATCAGATTCTAAATCTTCACCATTGATCATTTTCTTTTGGATTTTGCATGTACACACACACACATACAGGTCCATTAGCGAGGACTCACTGAGACGGTACGTACAGTTTGCAAGTGAAAGCTGCATACAAGAGTTGCTGTCTGCCTCCGATTCCAATAGATTTGGTAATATTGGCAATGATGGATGGAAGATTCTAACTGATGTAGAAAATGGGGTAGAGATATCGAAACGTAGGTCTGGATCATTTCACGCCTTTCGCAGCCGTTGGCTGCTCAGATCAGTCTCCCCTCAACAATTCATCACCGTTGCCAATGCCATTGATGCTGCTAAGGTACTCAATTTACAATCATAAATTTTTGTAGCTATATGTGAAGCTGAATATACGCTAGCAATGATAATATTATCTAATATCTAATGAGTGGTGAATATTGCTCAAACTATAGCATCATAATTATTAAGACGGTTTGATTCCATTCCAACTCATTGAAAAGAAAACTTTTGTCTCTAGTTTTTTTGTTTTCCTGCCTGACAAAATATGGGTTCCTCTCTGTTTCTTTTCTGCAAGAATGCAGCTATTTCTTCGTTTCGGGTAGTAGCAGGATTTGATAGGGCATAGATATATAACAGTTAGAAATATATGAATTCTGACTGAACTTAATTGTTGGAGCCTGCAGCAATGGGACCAGGACCTGGTGGAAGCCAGATACATAAAAGATCTTGAGGATAATCTCAGCATAATCCGTCTCAGGTTTGGAGAGAACTCTAAACCTTTGTTCAGAAACAGAGAGTTTATAGTATACGAGCGACGTGAAACAATGGAAGATGGAACTCTGGTAATGATCAGTCTCCAATTTATAAGTCTGCTAATGTTGTTTTCAGATTTCAATTTGCTTAATCTCTGCATTTCTGTTTTTTTTTAAAAAAAATATGTAAAGGTGGTAGCAGTAGCTTCACTGCCAAAAGAGATAGCTGCAGGATTGCACCCAAAGCAAAATAATGCTATCAGAGGACTATTGCTGCAGTCTGGGTGGGTGGTAGAGAAACTTGAGGATGACTCCTGTATGGTCACCTATGTTGTTCAGGTATTCTGCATTATTATAAAATCAGGGTGGAACTCAGCTTGTAGTTATACTATCCGGCATTGTCTATTTTAATCTTTCTATTCGAATATGGTACAAAACAAATCATATACTACTAAACGTTGGAATAAACCAGCAGTTGCATCTAACATTTAATGACATATGATTAACAGAAATGAATGAAAAGACTGTAGTTTGTTCCGATATTCAATAGTACAGTATTTGTTTTGTAACACACTAAGATAAAAAGATTAAAATAGATAATATCGAAAAGTAAAAGGACACAGAATGAATTTCATCGTTGTATATTTTATTGTTTTTTTATTTGTGAGAAATGTCAAAATTGATTTCAGATTGTTTTGGTTGCTTTATTAATTACTATGTAATTATGCAGTTAGATCCTGCTGGATGGCTGCCTAAGTGCTTTTTGAATAGGCTCAACACAAAGCTGGTAATGATCATTGAAAACCTCAAGAAATTAGCACAAGGTTGTCCTTGTCCAACTCATGCTAACACATGACACTATTTTATTATTATTATTATTATTATTATTATTATAAAGAACTGGCAAAATTGATGGAAGAAAGCAACATTGTATAAAGTAATAATAATATTTTATTTTCTACAATGTTAATTATACATTAATTATTCAGCTCTATACCCTTTATGAGGATTGAATATATATGCTAACTGGTTGATCATAATTAACTGTTAAAGAAGAATTAGGCATACAAATAAATAAAAATCTCCCCTCACAGAAAAGAAAAAAGAGAAGTGTGAATAAAATTAAAAAAAAATTAATTATAGACATTAATTGTCTTCACAATTAAGACATGCAGGTCACCAAAGCTGTGATGACACCTTTAGGATTCGATTTCGTGGTACTTTCATATGCAAGCTGGCAATTGAATAGGGTTAAAAAAAAAAAAAAAAGATTTAAAGCTCCAAATTATCTATGTATGAATTATATCGATTTGGTTTATTATGTCTCTTAATTATTTTTTATTGATTTAATATGTTTTTGGTTTAATCTGAGTACAAATCATGGTTAATTTAGAACACTTGACGTGGTTTGAAGGGGTCACGTGTCCAGATTTGAATTTTAAGACAGATTTTTTAGGTTTTAACTTAAAAAAAAAAATGTATAGAATACTTTTTTCGTAGTACGATTTCATTAATTTCAGATCCCATCTAATGTCTGAATGGTAAAAATATTTAATTTTAAATTATTATATTATTTGGCTATCAAGTTGCATTTATTAACGAAATTAAATATTTTTAAATATATCACGTCAACTTAGGGGATGCGTTTTTAAAATTATTATAAAAAAATGACTTTGAAAATAAAAATCCAACAAAGGATGTAAGCGATAATACAGTTTTGTTAATTACACGGACTAATTAATTAGTTAATTATTGGTTTGTTTGAGATATAATCAGAAATGCACTTTCAATATAATTTTGGCTTAGAGCTTAACAAGATTTGCTCATTCTCTTAATTTCTCGCCGAGCTTAAGCCTTTGAGCAAGCATATGGAATAATTTAATTTGAGCCGGATAGTCCAGCAGGTTAAGAGAGAGTTGGCCGAACAAAGCTGTTAGGGCCATATCCAATCTAGGCCCAACACCCAATCCAAGCCCAGCATCTGACACATTCCCAATAAATTGGAAAGGTCTGTGTAAGGGAGAACAGTCCTGGTAAACAAGGAACAAATTAAATAAAGAAGTAGCGAGAGGTTAGCGTTGATGAGACACGATCGATGACTGTTATAGAAAAACGTGGAACATTACAATATAAAATGAAAAGTTACAAAAAAGCATAAAACATTGCAAAACGGCATGAAAAAATATAAAGAAGTGTGGATCATTGCAAAGATGATAGAGAAACAGAAAACCTATAAATACAAGTTGTGGTGAGAAAAAAGGACACACAACATCATATAATTAATTACAAAAATGCTTACAAAAAAAAAAAAAAAAAACCCGCAAAACATGCTCATTACTAAACAATTAGACAGAAGTCATCGCATTAATAAAGAAGTAAAAAGCGTAGCAATTTTTTTTTTTTTTTTAATTAAGCCCTCTTAGCTGAACCCAAAATTGTAGCAATGTGGAAATCGTCAGAAACAAAAAGAGTGGAGATTGAACCCGACGTGAATCGAACACGCAACCTTCTGATCTGGAGTCAGACGCGCTACCATTGCGCCACGTATCCACTAGGCATCTGTTAAACAAATGTACATTAGTTAGTTAAGAACAAGAAATAATTTGCTCATCAATTGTTATGTCGGTAGCAATGAGACTGTCATTCAATTATCATCGGGCATTGCACAGTAGATTGTCATTCGGCCTCAAGTTTACTCATGGCCCAACTTTTGCAACCAACCATTGGTAATATGCCACTGCACATTATAAATATATATATATATATATATATATATAGCCCTGAGGGAATTGTAACACAATGCATCCAGTTCCAGCCTGCAATTTTTCTCCCGCGTCCCTATGGCGTTAGTTAATCATTCTTCAGATGTGGTTACAACATGATAGCAAAATGGCAAGATAAGTCAACCAATCCACACATGGATATTCCTGCAAAGCATAGGCTACCTAAATCAACGCAAGTAATGTAAAAGGTTCATTTCTTTACTCGACAAAACAATTTCCAAATCAAACATCGAAATTGAAAATATCCAACAATTCTGAACATTATAAGCCTAGAAATGGAAACCCTTGTGACATTGCAGTGACAGCATATAAGAGAAAATTGGCACGAAGGGAAGAAACATTAGAAAGGGATGTAAATGCCGCTTTTTAATAGCTCAAACTTTAGCTTCGAGAAGGAACTGATTCCTGCACGGAAGGACTAGAACTATGTCCTCATTGTGACAGCCCATTGCTTGGTGGCTGCGACTGGGTTTCTGCCTCCACATATGGTTGCACGTAATAAGGATGTGTCCCCTGGCTGTAATTTGCAGCGGCAGAGGTTGGATGAAGAGGATATCCACCTTGTCCATAAACTGGCTGACTTGATGGGGGAGGGACCTGGCTTGACTGCTGCCCTCCATAAGCAGTTTGGGAGCAACCTGTTTGATCATATGCTGTTTGAGCCGAAGGTTGGCCGGGGAAGCTTGAAGAAGTCCAGTATGTTTGAGGGTTAGTCATTGATTGACTATAAGAGGGTGGTGGATATGAAGGTGCTGGTTGAGTGGATTGGGTTGAAATTGCTCCATCTGGTTGAGATGGCAAAGTAGTTTGCCCATAAGCTGCTGCGGCAGCATGACTAGAGATGTTTTGTCCGTAGCTCAGTTGATGATGGCTGTAGGCCTGATCATAAGTATTGCTGCCAACTGGCATCTGACTGTAGCTATATCCCATTTGAGGTTGTTGCCCATAGTAGCCATATCCAGTTGCTTCCTGAGGTGGTTGGGGAGTGGCTGACTGATCCCAAGGTTGCTGCTGGCTAGAGTAGTTGCCATAGTAAGGAGCTGATTGCGTGTATCCATACTGGGGTTGCTGTTGCATTGGAGGTTGTCCAGGCTGGGCCCAATTACTAGCTGGGGGGTAAACTTGCTGTGGATAGGTATTTGGTCCAGATGGAGTAATTATACGTTTCTGCCATACAGAAATCAAATGGCAACATGAAAAACAAATGAAGCAAACCAACAAGTAAACATCCAAGTATTTTGCTCTAGCTTTGAATAACAAAAAACCATAGCTTGTAGTTTTGTCCTATCAAGGTGCATTTCAAGTGGAAATCACAGTTTGTATTTGTTAAAGATAATAAGAGAAGGCTGGTTCTAGCAAAGCACCATCAAACAATACTTTGACCTGGGTACAAGGACCTCAACTTGGCTCTAGCTTTGAATATAGTGCTGGAGCCAAAAATGAAAAAAAGATAAAAAAAAATAAGAAGAATTAATTGATGTCCAGTATTTTGCTCTCTAAATAATATCAGCTCAATTAATCAAAGTTTCAGTTCAAAAACCAGTTGGTCAGTTTGCATGCATTGTTTTCCAAATTTGGGAAAAGTTTTCAAAACACGTGGTCATCCAAGTACTTCCAAACTAAAAACTTCGGACATTTATTCATCAAAGAAAAAAGTGCAGAAAGCGATGGATGAGCACAAGAAAAATGTTACTAACGCATTACTTACCCCACTGACTACCTCATTAACCAATTCTTTGGCTGCCTCAATCTGTTCTGCCGAACCATTTATATATACCATTCTTTCAGCTGGTGGGTCACCAGGTGGAAGGTGTAGAGGAATAATCTGAAGAAAGAAACACACGTTATACGAGTTTCATGCAAAGTACAGCAGAGATTTTCAGAATCAAGACTTCCATGCTGAGAGATTAAGAATTAAAAATGAGATACCATGTCAACATCACTTTTCTCATGAGAAATATAACAGATATTAGCAGTCATAGCATTAGAAGAGGCAGTGCTCAGAACTGCCACCTGTAGTTATGTGTTCAGAGTTCAAAAAAACATATAAAGGAAAACAATAAGTTATCAAAGCTGGACCTTGACAGTAATAGCCCAATATTAAAACAGTTGGAGATTAGATCAGGAAGGTGGATGTTATGTTGGATAACACTATAACTTAAGAATAAAAAATAGCTGATCCAGGTTCATTCAAAAACCACAATTGGCAACTGTGTAAGCTAGTCATCATATAAATTGCAGTAACAAAACTTAAAGGGGAAGAACTGCAGACAATATTTTCTTGTTCATTACTAGTTGAGGTTAGAAAAAAAAAAAATACAGTTTAACAACTCAGTTTAATGTCCACAGACACAAATGTTTTATGGATGACACAGAAGTCCATAAACTGCCTCCAAAACATTTGTGCAAATCCAGCATGAATTGTTTGCTTTCTAATCCAAATCCATAATCAAATGATTATACTTCAGAACCAAATTAGAATGATCAAGTATACACAGTTTTATTCTACCATCGTGTAAATATAACCAATGCTTGCAAAGACTCACCCCATTAACATCATGTATTCAGGAAGAAAAGGCATTTTAGATGGGAATCAGAAATTACCAACATAATTTTTTTTTTTAGACTTTTGTCCTTATTATTGTTCAGACCTGGATTCGAGCACCTGATGTACTTTGCATGTGCTTAATTGTCTCGCCACCCTTGCCAATAAGCAATCCGACCTACAGTAATCAACAAAGCAGAATTAGGGGAAAAAAAGCCCAGCATCATTTTTATACTGACATCCACAATTAAAAAACAGTCACTATATTCACCCTGTCATTAGGAACTTTCATTGAGAACTGTTCTTCTCCAAATTGCTTTGCATTCAATCCATGAACCGCAGATGAAGCAGAACCCCCTGCATCTGTCTGTTCCAATAATTTATAAAGGCAAATATAATAATAAGAACAAACCTCCTGGATTTCAAAAATAAAAAGCAAGACCACTAAGCATGAAAATATAACAACAATTACACCTCCATAATGACATCATTGATGAGCTGTTCAGCCCTGCATATTTGTTCCGAAGTACCCATCAACTCTACATCCCTTGTTAGAGAATGAGGATCAGCATCTTGATCCTTAGTAATCTGAATTCTGCCCCCCGATTGAAGTTGAATATACTTTATCGTCTCTCCTCCTTTACCGATAACCACACCAACCTATAACACCAGCAACAAGCATGAGACACGAATGTTCATTTACAAGACGCAATGCTTACAATGCAGTAATACAATACAATACAATACAAATATCAAACCTTGCCACTTGGAATACTGATTCTCTTACTCGTTCCTTGTAAACCATAATGCTGACTTGCCGGAGCCGCAATTGGAACTAAAAATAAATGAATAAATAAATAAATAAATTGAGCAATCAATCATGGCATTGAAAGTACTAGTAAATAATTACAAAAAAAAAAAGCAAAATGTTTCCAGAATCCTCAATTTCAGAAACTAAACCCCTAAACCCTAAACCAAAAAGAAAATGTACCGAAACAATATTTATTCCTCATTTAACCCTAACTAAGCAAGCATTTTAACAACAACATACCCTAACTAAAAAATTGCGAAAATGGAGAGAGGAGGGGTTACCAGGGAAAGAAGGAGTAGGAGTAGAATCGGAAAAAGAGGGGTCAGATACGATACGAGGGCGCTTAGGGTCATTGGCGGTGGCGGCGGCGTCGTTGATGATTCGAGAAGCGATTTGTTGAACTTTCTGCTTAGCGAGTTCGATTGACGCTTCTAACTTTCTCTTGTTGTTGTCACTTGCCTCCTTTAGTTCCACATTTTCTGTTTGTTCGCCCATTATGGCTGACTCAGTGAGCCACCACCGAGTTCAGTGGCTAAGTTGATACTTGATAGAGAGTAGGACTGACTGACCGACCGACCGACCGAGTGCGTGAGGAAGAGGGAGGACTTAGAGTGCTAAAAAAGCGCTCGTTCTGCTAGTTTGACTCTTTTGACTCTTAACAAGTTGCTACCTAGGATAATCTGATAATCTCGTCCAATTATCTTGTAACACGTGTGTCCCGTACCACATTTAAGTGGAGTAAATTATAAATTAGTCTTTTTAGTTTCAAGAAATAGATAAATTAGTTCTTCTTGTTTTAAATTTTCATGTAACTAAAACTTTTTGCTGTTTTTCAATTTTTAAATTTTTTTTGTTTTAAGAAATAGAAAAGAAAAAATAACATGTAAAACATATGAAATTATTGATGATAAAAGATGTCCTGTTTTTAAATAAATTAATATTAATTTAATTATTGTCAATATTGGTTAAATAACTAAATAATTAATTTTTGAAATCAGTAGACTAATTAATTCATTCTTAACCAAAAAAAGAAAAAAACTAATTTATCATTTACTCCAATTAAGTGCACAACTGTTATTTTAATTTTCATTCTGATTTTAAATAAATCATTCATACTTGTACCGATTTATTTATGAGAAATTATTTTCATAAAATCTCTTTTAAAAAAGTTGAATAAAAAATTTGATTGAAAATTTAGAGTGAGCATATTTAAATAAATAAAATAAAAAACCTGAATTATCTCACCTCAATCGGGTAAAGAGACAAAAAAAAGTTGATGTATTGGTAATTCGAGCAATTACTCAAAAAAAATTTCCAGATGGAGTCTGGCAGTAACAATCATGATTGAGTGATCTCAATTATTGAGTCAAAGTAAATATCGGTTGTTAAAGCTTTAAATTTTTCAATTTTTTTTTCTTGGAAAAAAAAACACATCTAAACAATCTCTTAGATCTCGTAAACAATTAGGGATTAAAGTGGACCGAGTACAAATATGTATCCTACTTAGTCTATCGATCAATTTTCTTTTTAAAATATTCTAATAGATAACAAATTAAATGTGAATAAAATAATATTATCTATTTATGTTAATAAAAAATTTATTTATGAATATGAGTATCTTTTTTTATCTTATTGATACTCATTTTTTATCCATTAAAATAAAAACATACTAACATTATAATTTTTTTTAAAAAAAAAAAGCATCGCAATTCAAAAATCAATACAGCTTTTGGCTATAGAAATGGAATAGCACCCACTTGAACCACCTTCTCATAGCAATTTATAATTTTATCTAATATTGCATCTTTTTATGCTTTGTGAATTCTTTTATATTATTTGTAGGATCAGGTTTCGAGATCTTTAACTATTTGATTTTTATGTGTGTGTTTTTTCTATGAACATTGTTCGAATCATGCAAACTTTATAGTTACAAAGCAATACAAGAATGATGTAAAATTTATCCATGAGTCATCTGTGTATAACTAAAAAAAAAAAATTCAGTAAAAAAACTTTAAAAAAAATCTTCCCGACTTGCTATCAGTCATTCTCTAATTGCTGAGTTGCACCAAAAGCTCAACTCTGCTAAGATGTTGCTGGAAGCCTTACTCGTAGAGCAGAGCAGCAGGCACGAGGCATTGACAGACAAAGCAAGATATCCCATGAAACTAAATGATAAGTTCGGTAATATTGGTGTGTCTGACGAAGTTGTGCTAGCAATAGGTTCTCACATACTCCCACTTGGGTATTCAACAAGGATGGGATCCGACGGCCGGTGGAGCATGCTTAAGGTATCTACATGACATTTGAAGTTGGAGTGGAATGTCCGGTGGATGATGTGTTTGCTCAGAGGTTAATGCTTAAGGTATCAAGATGAATTAGCATAGTACATGACAGACAAATTAAGCAAGATATCCCATTCAACAGCTTTATTGCGTCGAGGGGATTGATCCCAATCCATGTCAGTGTTTCTCAGAGGCTTCCATTCTTCGACAACGCGCTGGACATAGTTCATTCAATGCATGTTCTTAGCAACTGGATTCCAGATGCTATGCTGGAATTCACACTCAATGAATGCTCGATCGCTTCTTCTGCTTTGGATCACAGCTGAACCAGACTTACGCTGGGCCGTGTTGGATTCCGGAAGCTAAGATGGAATGCTGGCATGAAGCTTGATCGAGGGATTTAAAAAAACGAGTGGTATTTCTCTGCCTTGTTGGAGAAACCAATGACCTGATCAGCAACAATTTTTAACAGTACTATCAAATTACTGCAATGAAGATGCAGTTTTGTATGATAATAATATTCACAACTTAAAGATTGAATGCAGGACACAGAAAATGCTCAACAGTTTTCAGCATCAATATTTCACATTCTTTTGATTCAAGCGAGATGTCGAATTTTCTCTAGACCTTTTAGCTTAATTCATGTCTAAGCCAATCCTACGTTAGGTCAAGAATTTCGTGAAGGTTATATAAATCTTTTGTTCTCTCCATTGTTCTCCTTACTTCTAATACAAAACAATCTCCAAAACAAAACAAAGAAGCAAATAAAAAATGGTCAACAAAATAGAACAAACAGATCTAATTGAAAATCCTGGCAAAACAAATATCTTGCATTGTTACATTCAAATTCTGATCAAAACCTGAAAATAATTTGTTACAGAAATCAAACATATATGCACTAATCTGAGAGGAGATTTAATAAATAAATAAATAATTAAAAATAGTCTCCTGTTAGGAATAGCGAGTGCTTCTTTGCCATCCCTTCATCATCAATATTAAACACACCCTCATTTCTTAGGCTCCATTTGCATTCGGTGCAATTTAACTTCACAGCATATGCCCAAAAGACTCCATGATTTGATTCTCCGAGGTAGATATAACACCACTTTAACGGGAACAGTATATCACGGAAACCAAATGACACATTTCCCTCTGGTTTCAATGGACGCAATACTTCATCGTGTTCTCCAGCATCGCACATATATTGGATCACGTGATCACAATCATTGGTAATTTTCACTGTGATTTTTGGAAATAAATAATCTAGCAACGGTATCGATAGAGGAGATGATGGAGCAGGGAAGGATGAAAGAAGAACGAGAAAAATTGCGCAGTTTGCTATATTACATTTGTAAGTAGGAGTCATGATGACCATAACAACGGTGGTAGAGATTGCTGCAATAATACTATTATTGCTTGTTGATCAAGGCAGTGGTATCATTTAGGGATTCTCAGGTTCTTTATATAAGCAAGTTGGTTAAAGATAACAGATCATATTTTATATGTACCAGGTCATCTTTTTTTCTTTTCTTTTTCTTTTTCTTTTTTTTTAAAAAAACTGCATGTAAGATAAATACTATTAAATTTTCAAACGATTCTCTTAACCGCTTCAAATATTCTGTCTCTACAGCCTTTTTCTGATGTAGAGATCAAATTATGTCGTTAGTTTGTTGTTTTGGAGAAAACAAGATTAAAATGGTCTAATTACCTCTGAACTCTAAGTCATTTGAACTTATTTTTTTATTGATTTTGGGAATCCTTGAATTCTTAATCTTTTTCAAATTTAGTCCATTTAATAATTTTCAACTATCATCTTCTTCTCTAAAAAAAAATCTAATTTTTAGTATTTTGAGTTGAAATTTTGCACACATATTGAAAAAAATTCAATCTATTTTGTAGAAAATTTCAGAATTTTTTTTTAAGTTGATTTTTTTTTTTTGAACATTAAAAATATAAAAAATCAAGAAAAATCGAAAATGCCCCACATAAATCTCACTGGATGATTTTTGTCATGAAATTATTTATATAATTGCTATTTTTTGAGACAAATGATAAAAAACTGAAGAATGGGTTAAATATGAAAAAAAAATTAAAAATTCAAAGATCCCTAAAATTAATTTTAAAAAAAATCAGAAACTTTTGGATGGTTAGTTAGACTTTTTTAGCCGGAAAACAAATTGCTAGTTAGCCTTTGGAAATTAGTTGTTATGGGAAAACGAGTTGTTAGTTAACTTTTGGAAATTAGTTGTTCTAAAAGATCAAGACACTTATATTATTATTATTATTTTGCTATTTAGAGTCGAAGTTAGTTTCAGAAACAAGGTTTAAGGTTAAGTTGAATTGTTGTCTTGTTTGTAAAGCTGTAACCAATTTTTTCAACTAATTTTAGAAAATTACAACATGCATGTATTTGATAAAAAAGTTCCAGCAAATTTTATTTGGAATGTTTTAAGTCCCTCTTTTCTTCGAAAAAGTTATTTTAAGTCCTTCTCTACTAAATATATTTCTATAACTTCATGCATTTTTATCTTAAAGACTATTCTTTGTTACGTTATATAGTTAATTTAATGAATTTTTTTGTCCAATTCAAAGTTTTACAATTTTTTTGGCCTTTCCAAACATTCTGAAATTGAATAAGGAAAAGGTTTTGGCAATATATAATAAATAATAATTAATAATTAATAAAAAAAAAGCTCAGAGCTTTCCTGATAGAAACATGCATACAAGTGAGTAGTAGCTGAAAGTGAGAATTTTTACAAACAATAACATTAATATGTTCTGCTCAGAAGCAACTCTATTAGTGCTTCCTAAAATATTCACAAGCAAAGAATTCAAAGCATTTACAGTTCTGATTCATCTTATCATCCTACAAACAACACAAGAAAAATTGCAAATCGTACTCAAGTAATTAAGTAACATTCAAACATTTGCCAAGCTCATAATCTACTGAGCTCACTGTGGCTCTAGCTTTGAAACTGGGAAGCCTCCACTGTAGTCAAAAGCATCTTTGCTGAACACATATGGATGTTTAGCAGTTCCCTTGCTTACATCGTCGTAACTTGCCGAAGTCGAAGCCGAATCTGCATTGGGGTTCAGACCAGCAAGATGCAAGATGTTCTCAATCTCTTTCACCACTTCACCCATTTTTGGCCTGTCAATTCCATTCTCTTGTACACATTTCAATGCAACATCCACAAACTTGTCTAGACCTTTTAATGTTGTATCCAAACCAATGCTTGGGTCAAGAAGTTCGCGGAGGTTGTATAAATCTTTTGCTCTATCCAATGCCATCTTTACCTCTCTCACGATGTACTTCCCTCGTTCTATCGGCCTTCTTCCGGTTAATAGTTCCATCATTACAACTCCAAAGCTATAAACATCACTCTTCTCTGTCAGCTGCTGGGTCATGTAATATTCTGGATCCATATAACCCTGAAAAAAAGCCAACGATTTTAATACAATCAGCTCTGACATCCATTCTGGTCAAATGGAATGAAGCTGCATTCATTTTGTCAAATCAATCATAGTTTACATATTCTCATAATATAACATAGAATGAATTAGCCGGTTTACATGTAAACACACAAAGCCAAGCTGTTGATTTTTTATTCTTTTTTAACACACCAAATATCTTAAAAACAGTAAGCAATAATGGTGTTATGGAGACGGAGTGGGAGGTATGGAGGCACTGACCATTGTCCCTTTCACTTGAGTGGTAATATGAGTCAAATGACCGTATTCACCATCTCCCATAGGTTTGGAGAGACCAAAATCGGCAACTTTTGCATTTAAACGTTCATCTAATAGTATGTTGCTTGATTTTATGTCCCTGTGGATAATGGGAGGGTTGGCAAGCTCATGCAGATAGGCCAAACCTCTTGCTGCACCAAGGGCCACTTTCAGTCTCCTCACCCAATCAAGCCTGATTCCTGTCTTCCCTGCTTGGGTTGGAAAGAACAAAAAGGAGGATGAGGAATTAGTGTAGTTTTGTCTACATTTATGTTTTAGCTTCATTATCACAAGAATCAAAGCAATACAGTATTGTTTTTAAATTTTTGATGCTTATTCCAAGTGATCAATCCTGAAGCATCATATTGAAGCATTGATAGGTAATAGGTGCCGATGAAATTACCTGATAGGCTTTCCATGAGACTGCCATTCGGCACAAACTCATATATGAGCATTTGTTCACCTCTTTCAAAGCAAAAGCCTAGAAGGCTTACAACATTTTTGTGGTGGACTCTGGATAAAAGTTCAATCTCAGTCTTGAATTCTAGCCCACCCTGCATCGATCCTTGTTGAGCTCGTTTGATAGCAATTAGTTCTCCAGTTGGAAGAACTCCTCTATAAACCTGCAAGAATGTTATCACAATGAAATTCCATGTTTTGCAAAAACCACAAAAGAAAAAAAAAAAAAAAAAAAGATCAACGGGAGGGATTCTTTTTGCTGGCAATGAACCGGAGAAAGAGTTTGGACCCTTCAACAGGATAGTGTCAGTAACAAAAATTTTCAAAGGAGCAGAGAATACTCGAAAGTGCAGAATAAAAAAGCATCGGACGGTTAAGGTGAGAACATCAGCTGGGAGCACAGACCTCTTTTTCCCAGTTTTTGTCAGGCAGATTTAGGATAAAATTGGCATAGTTTATCATGTAAAACTTTTTGGAAAACTTGACCAACTGTGGTGGTGAAGTTGTAAGATAAGAATTGTGATTGACAAAAATCAAGTGTTGTGCACCAGTTCTGACTAGTTTGAGATTAAGGGTTTTCTTGGTTTGAATCTATATGTGCATCATAAGCATGAATGGTTCAAATATAAAATATCCATGTGCAAAAATATGAGATGTGGCTAGGCTTGCAGAGAGAATGAAACTTAACCTTTCCATAACCCCCAGAACCAATGTCATTGGTTTCTGAGAAATTATTGGTGTATTTCCTGAGCTCTTCAAAAGTGAAGCATCTGGCTCCTTTTAATTGCGGAACACCTCCGACACTCTTGTTTGATTCCCAGTGTGCTGAAAAAGAAACAAAAATAAATCCAAAGATATTCCATAACTGTAAATTCCAAGTAAAAAATAAAATCCTTCTCATACCAAAAGGATTGTTTTGTTCATTTGCTTTTTGTGCTCTCTTCTTTTGACGATGAGCATAAAGACCAGCACCGAGCAATAGCAACAGAAGGACGGAGCTCCCAACTACAGCTCCGATGATAACACCAGTGCTAGATGACTTTTTTGATCCTACAACTTCTTCTGGAGGAGGAGGAGGAAGAGAGACGGAGAGAGATGTTATGATAAGAAAGGAGAAACAGTATGATAAGTTTTTTCTTAGTTCTGTATCAGTTATGAGACTACCTGAGAAATAGAGATAGGCCTGACCATGAAAAACGAAAGGTCCAAATTGCGGCGGAGGCTTGAAAGTCTGGTTGCTTAGCACAAAACCAATATTTACAATTCCTGTTCGATTGAAACGATCTTGGCCAAATGGAAACACTTGCAGAGTCAAATCAAGGTACTGAGACGAATCTTTTCGTGGATCACTTAGTTGAATTGAATCCACAGGAAGCTGATGTAACTTTAATGAATCCATCAGAGACGTTTCAAGAACACTGTAATAAGTGTTGTTATTATTCAAGTCTGAGAATGAAGGAGCTCTGAGCTCTATAACTCCCGTGTATGGAAATGCACATTTACAGTTGGGACTGGAAATCTGATTGGCAAAGCAGGAAGCAGACTGGCAGTTACTTGGAGGAGTTGCATAGGAAGAATTGGATTCAGGAACAGTGCAGTAATTTCCGCTCGCTCCTGTTTCTTGACAAACTGGGTTGTTTACAAGTCTGCAAAATTTTAGCAGATAAACAAGATAAAGCTAGATAGGAGAAGCACTTATCCTGGCAATTTGAATTTCTCAGAGTACTGAAAATGGTCTTGTTTAGCAGTGAAATGAATACAAACAAAGAATTTGGCTTACATTACGTCCACATTTTCACCTCCTGGTCTGTTTTTATAGTCAGAGATTTGATTTTCCCGCAAATCAACCAATGCCAGTTGGTTTCCATAGCTTGTTCCAATATCCAATGAGCCATTGAGTCGGTTATTTCTTGCATTCCTGTCATCAGCAGTCAAATCAGCTACCAACCAGCCATAACATAACATGGAAAAATCTATATAAACCCATTTTGCATGAATCCAAGAAAGGAAGCAGCCAATTTTTTGTACAGGTTCCCTGACATCAATAAAGCTGGCTCTTACACAGTCTGTAAATTGGAAAGGGCGAAGAAGTCAGTAGGAATCTGTCCTTGAAGTTGGGTTTTTTCCATCACCCTGCAAGAAGAAGTCAATGATATTAGGCTAAGACGGAGGTCTTAATCTTTTTTACTTGTTCAAAGTTCAAACAGAAACTAGGCACTTGTGCACTTGATCACTGTAAGCTTTGCATGCACGCACACAACCAAGAAGATATCAGCTAGTATGGCAAGTGCTATAACTGAAGCTGTAGAAACTTGCCATAGATTTTATGGCAATGTGAATGCGAACACATACTTGAGGGGATGATGAGAAGGGTAATAAAGGCTGCATTGTGTCAGGAAAAGCATAAGAAAAATAAAATCTTGTGCCTTTATGAACTACGCATAAGAAATATGAGGTTGCATGAATTGGTTGCTAATAGTATTGTTCCCACCGACAAATCAAATAGCATATTTTATGAAAACTACAAAGAGATACTAGAGCTTAGGATAAGGAAAGCTAGATACAAATTGAGGAGTTATCAAAGATTGATGATAAAGAGTATTAAGCTGTGAGAAATTTAATGCACAGTTTGGGGAGAGCAGATTTAGAATGGGAAGGGAAGCAGAGAACCATACAAACTTGTCAAAGACGGCAAGGTTGAAAACCATGGAGGAAAATCTGTTTCGTCAAAACTATTATTGCTCATGTCCCTGCAAACAACATCTTGGTCAAAATACACATAAAATGAAAGTAGAGCTAGATTTCATCTCAACATTTGATCATATACTTGTAAACCATGTAAAATCTTACAAGTAGGTGAGAAGATTCAAGCCAGTAAGGTCGGGAAGTGTCCCATTTAAATGATTGTTGGATAAAAACCTGAAAATTGGTCACCAAGCAACACTCTTAACATAGGAAAAAATCCCATAAGACTTCAATAAAACCAGTTATGATGAAATGTCTCTCCCCTCTGTACTTACATCTCACTGACAATGGAAAGATTACTGAGGCTGGAAGGGACAGATCCAGTGAGCATATTATCATCAAGGCGCCTGTAACAAAGATTGCATATTCAATTACAAAATTGAGCATCTTGAATATCAGTACAAAATGACTTGAATTTCCAATTTCCGATATCGATACTTACACAACCTCCAAAGTCTTCACAAGGCCAAGGGTGGAAGGAATGGGGCCTGTGAGCTTGTTGCTTTCAAAAAGTCTGCCCGAAGGAAGAAAAACAAACCAAAAGAATCCATAAAAGAAATGTTTGAATCGACAGTTATCTGTGATTACCAAAAGAGTCAAACGAATGTAAAACTATTATAAAACTTCAAGAAGAAAAAAGAAATATGCAAGCAAACAGTTTTGTGGGTTATTATGATTTAAGTGCATATTCAATTAAAAAAGAGTCCATAGAATTTGAACTTATATCCAGTTTGTGAAGTAGCTAGTTACCACCGTCCATTATGTGAACTCAACGAAACTTACACATGTATTAGTTTCATGTCTGAGCTGAAAAGTTGAGGAGGGATTGGGCCAGAGAGCTGATTCAATCCAAGATGACTGTAAATAGTTTTTAAGCAAACATTAACATATGGAAAACTAAGTAATTTATAATAAGAAAGCAGCATGCAATGGATAGTACAAAGAGATCTGACATACAAGTGTTTTGTATGAACTAGCAGGTCAAGACCAGGTGTAGTCCCTGTGGAGACTGGGATGTTCCCAGAAAGCTGGTTAGCAGCAAGATCCAGCCAATAAAGTTTAGTTAGATTGCCAATTGAAGGGGGATTCGTCCTGTGAACTGATTCGAGTTCAGAGATCTGCAGGTAATACCAATGAAGAGTTTTAGAAATGCTGCTACAGGCACAAACTGAACTGGAAATGATGAAACAATATTACTATAGGCATATATTAGAAGATGGTTGCTTATGAATCATGAACAATAGCTGATTCACTGACGTTGTAGTAAAGCAAGGAAAGTATAACAAGTTGAAAAAAAACTTACAGATAGGTGAGCAGTGGCAAAGATCCTATCGTATCAGGGATTGGACCAGAGAAACCACAGCCAACCAGTATTCTAGAATGAAAGGAAACAAAAAAAATGTTAACAACAGGACTGAAACCAGGAAAGAAATTGAGCATCAGAGGACAGTATAGCGCAATAGAATATCCCCTTACAAGTTTGTTAGGTTCTTCAAATTCCCAATTGCTGGGGGAATAGTGCCTGTCAATTCCTTGTTGTAGGATAAATCCCTATATAAAGATGCAATTATTAGAAATGCAGCATACCAATCGCTTTATTCCATCATTTAATCACTATATCTGAAAGCAATCCCTAGGCAACAGCTATTCTAAGGGATGCACTTCTCGAATATAGAAAAAAGGTCTGGGAGTGAGGCATGTGCTTAATCAGTACTTAATGGCTTAATGCATAGCATCATCGTTTAAAACAATAAAAGCTGAACAATAATCAACCACATTAGCTGTAAGTTGGATGCTTGGATCCTATTCATAAAATAAAAATAGGTTACACAGCAGAGTGAAGACATACAGGATCTGCAATTCTGACAAGATTGAGAGGTCTCCAGATAGCGTCCCTTTCAATTGCATGCTTGCCAATGTTCTGCAGTTGAGAAAAAGTCAGGTTAATCCTGAAAACAGAAGATCAAGGAACAATCTGCAAGCCTCAATCAGCTGCACAAGGTGAAATATAGCCAACGGCTTACATGGAAGTCACACGCGAATCGGAGCACAAAATGCCGTCCCACCTGCTTCCACAGGGGTCAGGACCCTTCCAATTAGGTGGTACATTTTCCCAAATATCCTTGAGAGAATTCAGTGCATTAACTGCATCGGGAGTCAACCATAAATAGTTACAAAATCAATCACTGAATGTGAATTGTCCATTAATGTGATATAAATTGAGGATCTATATAGAAAGCTGTCAAAAATTTTACAATAACTAGTCTGAATCCCCAGATTGAACAAGTCTAATGGACAATTCTGGGGCCTAGGTAGCACCACCACTTCAATGATCATATAAGAAAAGGAAAAGGCATCCAATGAAGGCTGGATACTCTTCTGAGTCTGACAAAGTGTTTCCTAATTCCACCTATTACTTCACAACCAGAATTTTAGAAGGATAACCAAGTATATCATAAGCCAGAAATAATTCCCTGACATTAACATCAAATTCTGACTCTTGAAATTGCAGAAGGAGGCATAGACAAGAAAAATACTGTTCAAAGAAATTATGCAGTTAATTGCACGACAAACAAAAATCAAAGGTGGAATCTGGAGTCCTGAATCTATAGTTCATCTTAGTATCTGTTAGACATGAATGAAGCCATTAAAGAACTGATGCTAATTTGGATCAAAAGAGTGCTAAAACAACATGCATGTTCATGTTCTAAGTAATTTACCAAAACAAGAAAACAGGAAAATACTAACAGTACAGAACTTACAGTCGTTATTATTAGTCACTGCTGGTATGGTACAAACTTGAACTAGAGCAACAACCAAAAACACAAGAATTCTTGGTCCCATTTCTCAAGAAATCCTCAAAGAAGCTCTTTGTTTTCAGTTGGTAATCTTGAGAAACTGAAACCCCATTTAGTATCAGCAGTTAAATCTCAGCACTTCAATTCAAACAGTTGAAAACTTGGCTTTTTCTGTTTTTCCAAATCATTTCCAAAAAGTATTATACCATGTCAAAAGAAGGACCCTTCTTAATTTGAGCTCCAAAATGTTGTCCATTTCATATGCTGACTATACAATAGACTCCTCACCAAACAACTTTATTGCATTATGACAAAAAGGAACAGCTTGCAGGCTGACTGGCTGGCTTGCTGCTAAAAAAAAAAAAAAAAAAAAGCAAGTCAAAATATCAAAAAATTCGAACTTTTGCAATAATAAATTAAACACAAAAGAAAATGTAAAATAAAACAGGCTTGTGGGAGACTTGGGACCTCCAGCCTAGTGGGGGTAGGTTGTGGCATTAAATTAAGTCATAATGTATACCACAAAATAAGGTCAAATGCCTTTAATGAATATCCGTAGATTATGAGAATGGTCCTCATTAATGTGCTTTTTTGTTTATTTATTTTATATATTGTGAAGTTTGAACAAGATATATATCAAGTAAATTATAAATTAGTCCTTCTTTTTTAAAAAAATAAATAAGTTAATTTTTTTAAAAAGAATTAATTATTTAATCTTCATCATATTTAATTTAATATTATTTTATTTAATAAAATTTCGTCAATTCTTTCATATTTTTTATTTTTTTAAAAAAATCTAAATAAATTGAAGGAAAAAAAACTAAATTATAAGAAAATTTAAAAATATAAAAGGACTAATTTATAATCTACTCTATATATATATATTAGCAACATGGTTCCATGATAGGAATTTTATTGTACTATATATAGGTAAAATAAGAATATAAAGAAAAGTATTCTTCCATGTTTCGTACAAGCAAGAGGGATCATGATTTTCTTCATATGTCCCGTTCAAAGTTGGAAGAATTCAAAGGCAGGAGTTATGACTTCTTTATTAGCTGACCCTTCTCTTCGATTAATAAAAATATCTGAAACGGATAAGCATTCATGCATGAGCAAAATTATAAACTAGTCCCTATAGCTTTTTTTTCAAAAATTAATTATTTAGTCCCTTTATTTTTAAATTTTCTTATAACTTAATCATTTTTGCTCTTTCAATTTAATTTTATTTTTAAGAAATAAAAAAATAGAAAAAAATAGAATGATTGATGAAAAAAATGACATTTTATGAAATAAATTAATATTATATTAAGTGTGGTCAATAATTGTTAGGTGATTAAATAGTTTTGTAACAAGAGATCAACTGATTCAAATCTTAACAGATTAGTTGTATCAGGAGTCTTGAATGTGTGAGTTAAAAAAATAAAAAAAAAGATTAAACAATTAGTTTTTTAAACAATAAAAACTAATTAATTTGCTTTCCAAAAATAGAAGGACTGGTTTATAATTTATTCTTACCAACACTCCCTAGCTATTCAAAGAAATTATAGCCTCTCTTTCTCTCTCTCTCTATCTCTCTCTCTCTCAGAGACTGAGCATTTTGAATATTTCAGCAATCAGCGTCTTATGCTTCCATTATACACCTACTACATTTTTTGGGTTTTTTGTCCCCCTCGCTTTTACCTTGTCTAATTTTCACTGATGTTTTAATCATTGAATTTGGTGAAATTAACATTAATTATTCATTCTTGCATGAACAAAAAACACTAATTGACCTTTTATAAAAAAGTGACAGCAACATCAACATGGGCACAGGTTGACTTTTGGACCAGCCCAAGCTTTTGTCTGTATAGTTACGAAAGTGGTAGTTGTTATGGTTGCCGTAAGTCGAACGTTTGAGGCCACACCCCAAAACATTAGCCGCAACAACCGGTGCTAGCTAAAATACGAAAAATATCTCCAACTAGACTGATGATGATTTCTTATAATACATAAATGGTTGAGATACACATAATTAATTATATAGTAACAATATAATTTCTTAAGATTAAGGAATATATATATAAGATTTTATACATATTGAGATCTTCGACAATTCGAATTTTTTTATTGAAATATTAATTTTTTTCTCGTTCAATTCAAGCGTTTTACTCTTATATTGTTATTATTTCGGACTTTAGCCACTAACGACTTGTCACTCTAACAATTTAATCATTCAATTCGGATCCACCATGACATCTGATGAGTTGTCATTGATTAAAGTTTGTGAAAGTGATAATTGTTATAGTTGTGATAAGTAGGACGTTTGAGCTAATAGTGCCAAAACCCCAAATCAGTAGCCACAACATCCGGTGATAACTATTCGATGCTAAGACTAATATACAAAAAATATCTCCAACTAGATTGATGAAGATTTCTTATAATATATAAAAGGTTGAAATACACATAATTAATTGTACGGTAACCATATAATTTCTTAAAATTAAGGAATTATATATATATATATATATATATATATATATAGAGAGAGAGAGAGAGAGAGAGAGAGAGAGAGAGAGAGAGAGAGAGAGTTTTATGCTTATTGAAACCCAATACAATTTAGATTTTTTTATTAGATTCTAATTTTTTTATGTTTAATTTAAGAATTCTACTTTTATATTTTTATTGTTTCATTTCTTAGCTAGTGACACTTTGCTATATGTATGATCTAATAATAACGTACTTACTACGTCACTAATTCAATCATTCAATTTAGATCCATCATAATACGTGACAAGTTCGTTATTAATTAGAACTAACTATATGTGCTTATTTAGTACATTAGGGATTGAAACAACATAAATATAAGAGTAAAATTCTTAAATTTGATTAAAAAAAAAGTTAGGTCTTAATAAAAAAATCTCAATACGGGCAAAAGCCTCTATATATATATATATATATTCAAAAATTAAGTAATTATAAAATATATAAATATTGATTTTTTTTAGTATGAATGAAGATTTAGTAGAGGTACCACTCCCTCGCAAATTGAGACGGACAAGACGGAGAGTTTGGACCTCAAATAAGCATATCGTTGAGATGGTAAACTTTTGGTAAAAATATCAGCCAATTGGTCATCAAAAGAAATAAATCATACCATCAATTAATTATAAGCGACTCGTTCACGATCAAAGTAATAGTCAATTTCAACGTATTTTGGACGAGCATGAAAGTCAAGATTGACTGTGAAATAAATATTGAAATATTATCACACCAACAAACTAATGGTTGACATAGATTAATGTTTAACTCGAATAACAACGATTGTATCTAAATTAATTCAGTAATGTGGCTGGCTAGACTTTTATACACGGACCCAGCAATTAAAGAACGGTTTTGTAAACTATCACGGGTGGCGCAGCCACAAAGACTTAGTAATAAAGGATTTGTTTTCCTTGTGATATTGAATTCGGGTCCTGATTGTTTTTTTTATGATCATTGGAGACTTACATGATTATTAATTTCATGATCTATAAAATTAGTGAAGGTACGCATAAACTAATCCAAACACTCACGTTATAAAAAAGAAAGAACGACTTTGTAATAAGAAATTACCGATTCAAATCCTCTTGAATTGAATGTGTGAGTTAAAAAAACAAAATCTGAACCAGTATCAATATGTTGCTTTTGTACCAATCTAGGAAATTAAATATGAACCAAGATGGATGGAAAAACTATTGAGAGTAAAAATCATCAGGATTGCCAGCCCAATCAATATCAGAGTGAACATGAAGAGTTGGAGATGAGGATTTTGAAAAAAGTACACCAGAAGTGACACTATGCTTTAAATGTTGAAGACTACACTTAACAGCAACCCAATGATAAGTTGTAAAAGCATGCATTAATTGACAAACCTATTAACAGCAAAAGTGATTCCGAGTATTTAATTTAATTTAATAGAGTACGGAGTGCCGAATGATTAAGAAAATAAGAAGATTCCCGATAACATCGAATTGGCTAGATCGGAAAGGAAGAGAGGAATTAATGGAGGCAAAGGAAAACACAAAAACTGATGAAGAAGAAGAAGAAGAAGAGAGTGTAGTGTTTGAAATTCCGCTAGGAGAAGCAGCAGGGACATTCAGCTTAGAGAAAACGGTATGCAGCCATGGCTTATTCATGATGTCCCCAAACCAGTGGGATCCTCTCTCCCGAACATTCTCTCGCCCTTTGCGTCTCTCTCTATCTGATTCTCATCCTCATGATTCCACCGCTACTACTTGTTCACTCTCTGTCTCCATCTCTCACCCTCCTCACCTCCCTCGCTCTCTCCTAGTGCGCGTTTATGGCACGCCTTGTCTCTCTCCAGAGCATCGAGAATCACTGGTGGGTCAGGTAGTGAGGATGCTGAGGTTGTCGGAAACAGATGAAAGGAATGCAAGAGAGTTTAGAAAGGTGGCAGAGGCGGCAGCGGCGGAGGAGGAAAACTATTCTTGTTTGAGAGGATTTGGTGGGAGAGTGTTTAGGTCTCCCACTTTGTTTGAAGATATGGTCAAGTGCATTCTTCTTTGTAATTGCCAGTAATGCTCTCCACCTGTTCTTCTTTTTTTCTTCTTTTTTTCCATTCTGCATGTGTTTGAAAAAATGTCCCTGACAGTAATATATTGGTGTCGTTTGTTTCTTGCCGTTTTGGTCAGATGGCCAAGATCTTTGAGCATGGCTAGAGCACTTTGTGAGTTACAGTTGGAGCTGCATTGTAAATCATCTAATGTGATTGTTGCTCAAGCTGCGAATGCGAGCACCAAGAATGAACAAAATGACATCGATCATAATTTTATTCCAAATACGCCTGCTGGTCAAGAGTCCAAGAGAAATATCAGCATGTCTAAAGTTTCCACGAATTTGGCAAGCAAATTTGTGGAAACAGAAACCCACTTGGAAGTTGATGCTAACTTGAAAATGGGAAGTGCCCATTTTGGAAGAGAGAATTTCGAGCCAAGTTTGTCTTTGGATGGTGTAGAAGAGGATTCATGTGCAAGCTGCAAATCATGTCATTTGGCTGTTTCCTGTGTGCCTGATAATCTTCAATCTCACCATGGAATGCAACCTGGTGTGAACAACAAGCGGATTTTTAATTTCCCTAATCCAAGAGAGCTAGCAAATCTTGATGAAAGATTTCTTGCGAAGCGCTGCAATCTTGGCTACAGAGCAATTCGAATAATAAAACTTGCCCAGGGCATTGTGGAAGGGAGGATTCCACTAAGAGAAGTTGAAGAAGCTTGTGCTAATGGAGCTGGCTCATCTAACTATAGCAAGCTGGCTGATCAGCTTAGACAGATAGATGGATTTGGTCCTTTTACGTGCGCAAATGTACTTATGTGCATGGGGTTTTATCATGTCATTCCAACTGATTCTGAGACAGTGAGACATTTAAAACAGGTTACCTTCTGTTTCTTATCCCATTCTTTGCTAACTGTTGAGAAGATGTGCTTCCAATGTCTCTTAGCTGTCGATACAGGTGCATGCCAAAAATTCCACCATTCAAACAGTTCAAAGGGATGTTGAACAGATATATGGAAAATATGCGCCCTTCCAGTTCTTAGCGTACTGGTAAATTGTTGGATAAGCTGATGTTTTAATTGTTCTCTGTCAATAGTTTGCTCACATGAGTTTCTATGTTCAGGGCAGAATTATGGCAATTCTATGAGCAAAGGTTTGGAAAGCTAAGTGAAATGCCAAGCTCTGATTATAAACTTATCACTGCCAGTAATATGAGAAGAAAAGGTGGTCATACAAATAAGAGGACTAAAATATCATGACAAAAGTGCCTTTACCTTAAGTCGAATAAGATAGTAAGTGAAAATTTATGCTTATTGTTTGTAATTTACTTACGAAGGTCTATTATGTGCTTGTTGACTTTCAAATCTTTATATATGATCACACACCTAATGTGTATTGTAGCTCTTTGAAAACTTTTCTGTCACCCCATTAAAATAGTGTCTTCTGATTTATGATAATACTTGTTTAGTTTTCCAGTGCTGTAATATTTGTGCTTCATCAATCTAATTCTTGTGCCAACTGATTTTTATACTAATCTTTTCATATTTACTGTTCATTAGTGTAGTTGGCTTATCCCCATTAAATACTTGGATCTGAAATGCACCCAGACAAGAGAAAGTACAGAAACAAAATCCTAACTAAACTCCATGGAAGATTGCAGTTTTTTTGTATTTTAGGTGAAAATTAGGGCAACATAATGCCTGTCTTTTTTCCAGGCACAGCAAAGATAAGTGACCTCAATGGACTTTGGGAAATTAATGGTAATTAACTGTAGATATACTTGTAACCATGCTAAACATTGTAGCAGGAGGGTAGTTGCTAAGTGCAAAAGCAAAGTCCAATTCATACGCATAAGAACATGCATCCTACTTATGGTCCTCAAGTATGAGGAAGATGAAAGAGAATCCAAACATATTTTTAAAGCTAGGACACTTTAACAAACAACTGTGACCGTGTTAACAAATTTCTTTCTGTTGGGGAAAAAAAAAAGAGTTAGTAATGAAAACATAGTTCAGTAATCAGTACATATTAAACCTTTAAATTAGAAGCAACAGAAGAAATCCATATTTTGAATAGTTCCCTTTGGTGAAGTTTACAGAACAGGTTCTAGAAATCAAAACCGTGGCAAATTCATATGTCGTATCTGCTAGGTCTTGACATACAAGATCACCACTTGTGCAACATCAAAGAAAACATTCAGCACCAACTGAAATAAATAGGTTGGAAATAGATAAATAAATCCTAACATGACTGTTTTTGGGTAAAATTGTTAAAAATGTGAAAAATTTTGGAACTCGACTTCATGCAAAGGTACATTTTCCATATGTAGCATAGTTCAGGAGACTTGCAAACCACGGAGATATATGTTTCTACATGCTTTAACAGAGAATATTCTCCTTCCACTATATACAACAATAATATCAAACTTTGAAAAAGGAAAGTGACGTGCTTGGTCTAAAGCAACCACAAAAGGTTTATCTTCAACACTGTAACTGTGTTGAAATTTTATTTCTGAAGCTCTATCTCAGAATGTGGAAAGCTTCCACTGTACTCAAAGGCCTTTTTGGTATAAGGGTGGTAAAAGCTGCCTTCTGTTGTCTCGCTGTAAGTTGCTGAAGTGGATACCATTTCAACAGTGCCATTGAAACCAGCCAGCTGCTGGATGTTCTCAAGCTCTTTAACCACCTCATTCATTGAAGGCCTATTGGCTGCCAATTCTTCGACACACTCAATTGCCAGATCAATAAACTTTTCTAAACCTTTCAGTGGTGTGCTCGGACGAAGAGTGGGATCAAGGATATCATCTACGTTGCACGAATCTTTTGTCTTCTGGTTAGCCATTGCTGTCTTCACATCTCTCACAATATAGCTTCCGTGTTCTATTGGTTTTCGACCAGTAACTAACTCCAGCATTACTACTCCAAAGCTATAAACATCACTTTTCTCAGTCAACTGTCCGGACATGAAATATTCAGGATCCATGTAGCCCTGCACCAGTGCAAAAAATCCAATTTCAGGAACTTTTTATAGTAGTGTTACGAAATTCAATAAACTTTAGCCTTTAGTCTTTATAGCTTCTATAAATTCATTTAATCTTAACTTGCTTTGAAGTCATTTAATTAGATAACTCTAGTTTGACAAGATAATATAGGCTTCTAGTTGGCACATGCATTACCACTAACTTTTGATCTACTGGCATTCATCGTGCAAACTGTTGCATGGAAAGTCTGGATATTTTCTGCAAGGGTCTGCCTATATAGTGGAACATTACAGCTGACTGGAAATAAGCTTGTCCATTCATGTCTAGCCTTGCCAGCAGGCTAGTCCTAGAAATACCAACAAACTTAGGGAAAAATGATAGTCGACTTTTATCAAGTCTTATTCTCCTATCCTCTTACCAAGGCTCCATTATTAATATTTTGAGAGCTGGAGACCTGGTCCTGAAACTACTTCTATGAATCCTTTGGTATCACTGTTTGAGCAGATAAAATAATTTCAGTTGTTATTGCATTATATTTCTCTATAATTTGTAAGTCAAAAATTGTACTTTCTTGCGAAAGTGAATGCCAAAGGGAAAAGACAAGTGAAAAATGGATTGATTTCATCAATGTATAATTGAAAATTTTGTTAACTATAAATGATTGTTTATCCTTGGAGATGTGCCTCTGCTCTTTGATTGAACTGACTCAACCAGTTGTGAAACTATAAATTTTTGTGAAGTTTCCATTTTTGCAAAAAATGATTTAGTGTTTTCTTGCATAAGATTTGCTGACTTTCCTCAACACATATTCTCATATCTCTTGTCAAGATAGAAAAGGTATCCATCTTTGCTTGAGTAAAGATTTGAAAGATGCTATACTGACCATTGTCCCTTTGACTCCAGTAGAAACGTGACCTTGAGCATTGTCCAAAGGTTTTGATAGGCCAAAATCAGCAACTTTTGCAATTAACTGATCATCCAGGAGGATATTATTGGACTTAATGTCCCTGTGTATGATGGGTGGATTGGCAAGCTCATGCAAATAAGCAATACCTCTAGCTGAATCAATTGCTATTCTGAGTCTCTTTGCCCAACTTAACTGGAAGCCTGACTTACCTGCATACATTATTAGGATATTGTCTAATGAGAAACCGAGGAGAATTTTCGATAATCCCCAAAAGAACATAATTTCTAAGATAACAAACCATCTACACATGAGATATTCCCCAATTTACTTCTCAACTTTGTCACTGATGTATTACTTTTGGTTTTATTCTATTGTTATTGGAATTGCACTGTAGGCTGTGTGCTCGATAAAAGTTGTTTATACCATGCAGTTTGCAGATGTGATTAGGTTTTGTTGTTTTGTTATCTTTAGTGTTTTTTTGGATAATATTCTTCTCGTATAAGTAAAGGGTGATGGGCATTAAATGTCACTTACTGTAAGGACTGCAATTTGATTTGATTTTTATGAAAAGAACTATAAAGGAGGCAACAGGTGCTTACTTTTGTTTTAAGAGACAGGAAAATACCTGAAATACAATCTGTTAGGTTACCATTTTTAACGTACTCGTAGACCAGCATCTGTTCACCTAACTGATAACAGAAACCTAATAGGGTGACAAGATTCTTGTGATGAACCCTTGATAGAAGCTCAATCTCAGTTTTGAACTCATGACTACCCTGCAATGATCCTTGTTTAGCTCTTTTAATGGCAACTAGCACACCAGTGGGAAGAGTTCCTTTATAAACCTGTGAAAACATTGCAAATTTAGTGCAAAGAAAAAAATGTAGAGATTGTCATAATGGAAGTATTACTGACTATTTTTTTTGCTTCCATGGTCACCAACATGGATATGCCCTCTTAAGAAGAGGGTGAAGCACCTCTGTGAAGTATTCTAAGGAAGTGAATCTATGCCAATCTATTCTCTAAGTTACAGGCATAGTCAACTGACCTTCCCATATCCCCCAGATCCAAGGGCATTGTCATCTGAAAAATTGTTGGTGCATTTTTTAACCTCCTCGAAAGAGAAACTTATCACTCCTTTTATCTGAGGAGCGGCGCCATTGCTTTTATTTTGGTCCCATGATGCTGCATTTGTACAAGGGAGTGATGAGTAATTCCCAGGAGTTCAAAATTAAAAGGTGGAGAAGTCTTGGGTTTCGATTACCAAAAGGATTCATTAGTTGAGTAGCTTGATCTGCTTTTTTCCTTTGATGGAAAGCATAAACACCAGCCATAAGTAAAAGCAACATAAGTACAGAACCACCGACTGCTGCTCCGACGATGATCCCAGTATTTGATGACTTTTTTGAACCTGAATAACATTTATGATTAAATTGAGGTAGAACTGTAGGCTATTTTTGTTGATGCTACTATAGAAAGTGTTCAGGGAATGGAGTCTCTGGATTTCAAGTCAAAGTATCAAGCACAAGTTTCTGCTCAAAGTTTGCTTTACCTGAAAAGTAGTTGCCAGCATTAAGAGTGAAAAAGAATGGTCCAAAAGCATCTGGGAGTTTGACAAAAGTTATATTGTTGAGCTGAGATGTAATAGCAGAAAATACTGTTCGGTTAAAGCGGTAATCGCCAGATGGAAAAACATCCAGCCTTACTTCAAGGTAATCATCAACATCCTTCAATGGAACACTTAGAGAAATTGAATCCACGGGAAAGTGATCGGACTTGAAAGATTCCATCACTGAAGCCTGAAGAGGAATATAATAGCTTCCATTTTGAAAGTCTGAGAACGAAAATGATCTGAAGTGTAGAATTCCTGTTATTGGATTTGCACATTTACAGTTTGGACTGAGACTTAGTTGTGCATTGCAAGAACTAGCCACACAATTTTCTGTTGGTGTAGAATATGAAGAATTTGGCTGTTGGGGAACTTTGCAGTATTCTGATGATTGCATCTTCTGACAAAATGGATTGCCATGAAGCCTGAAAAGTGAAGACAATTGCATAACATTTTATCTGAGTTGATACAATGATGATAGATACTGGATCCCATGTTCTAGCAGTATACCATGCCAACCAGATTCATTTCCCTGCCTAGGAGATAAAAAGATTCAAAGAAGTCACTTACAATAATTCTTTATTGTATCCAGTTCCTAGTGAAAACTCAGCAATGGAATTGTTCTGCAAATCGATGAGTTGCAGTTGGCTACCATAGTTGGTGCCTAAATCCAAGGTACCGTTAAGCTGGTTGTTACTTAGTACTCTGTCAACATAAGTCAGAAAAATCAGCTTTGAACATTACTGGATTTTATCATCTTTTAATTAAAAGATTTCACAGTTTTGCTTCTAATCAATTGAGTATAAATATAATGCTTGCTGAGAAAAAGCTGATACTTACATAGACTGTAATTGGGCAGAGCTAAAGAGGGTGGCATTTATCGGTCCTTGAATTTGTGTGCGCTCCATTATTCTGTCAGTACAAGGTCAACCCATCAGAGTTACCAGAGATCTACCCTTTCTCATTATTCAAGAGAAAAGAACTACAAGGTATGAATATTGTTATATTGCTTCTGTGGTTTGTGTGTGTTTGGAGAGAGATAGAGAGAGATACAATGATGTCATGGATTGTAGGCTTGAAAACCACGGTGGGATTAGTGATGCGTCAAAACTATTGTTGCTCAAGTCCCTGCAAATCAAATATGAATCTGAGAATCAAATATGATACTGAAACTATATGCACTTGACTGAGGACAGCAGTGAGCTGTGGAAATGGGAATAACTCATCTGACTTACTGGAACCCCACTCTAGCAGTGTGAAGATAGAGTTTGCATAATCAGAGGCTACTTAGTACTTACAAATAGGTGAGGAGGTTCATGCGACTGAGGTCAGGCATCTTTCCAGAAAATTTATTGTTAGACAAGTACCTAAAAATAAATAACCAAGTTATGCTTAATCCATTAGGGAGGATAACATAAAATTCAAGGAAATTAGCAGAGATATTGTGTTCTTACAGCTGGGAAAGACTTGGGAGATTGGTGAAGTTCCAAAGGATGGGCCCAGTTAATGAATTCCTATCTAGACGTCTGTTGCCAAGACAAATATTTAATATCAAATCATTTATATAAATCCATGGCCTGTCAGAAATTTCAACTTGAAACCTTTCAGTCAATGATCAGGACATATACTCACATCACCTCCAAGGTTTGTACTAGTTCCAGTGTAGAAGGAATGCTGCCACTAAGCTGGTTGCTGTCTAACAGCCTGCGCAAAGTAAGATATCAAAAGGATTAGCAATTCTGTGTGAGTTTTCGGATTTTCTAATCTCACAGGTTCTACCCTCTTTGGTCATGTCTAAGACATGTACAGTTAACAGAAAACACTATCAGGTTTTTGACAACAAAGGTCAGCTGAATAATTCTGTGGTGGTCAAGGCAACAAGCTTTCAAGAGTTGAAAAGTATTTCAGCTTGTATCAGTATTTGCTTTGAGAAGGAGGAGCGCTTTAAAAGATCAAGAAATGCGAGCTAAACACCCTTGGCACCCACCAGAAATCTGGTTACCAATTTTATGCAGTCATCTATAACTTAGTTTGTTAATATTATAATACAGAATAACTTACACATGTATGAGTGTCATATTTGAGCTGAAAAGGTTAGGTGGAATGCTGCCCCGGAACTGATTTTTTCCCAGATGACTGCAATCAATGGATGCAATTACAGAGCATTATCCTGGAGAAATAGGTCAGCTGCAAATAACTGCTCCAATGAAATATAGAAATGATCTATAATACATACAAGTGCCTTGCATTTAGTAGCAAATCTAAACCAGGGGAAGTCCCATCCGATACTGGAATTGTCCCGTTGAGCTTATTGTCTGTTAGATCCAGCAGAAAAAGATTAGACATATTGCCGATGGAAGGTGGTATTGGTCCATTGAAGTTGTTAGAAGCAAGAGATCTGCACAGAAAGAAATTTGGGAAATTGCTTACAGAAATGGAAGATCACATATGACAGTCAATTTGCTTATATTATCAATGAACTAGGCAGATGATATTTGAAGTATTGGCTACAAGTAATGTTTTCTACTGATCGAATTCTGAAATGGCCATGACAGAAATTCTTACAATGAGGCCAGCTGCGTTAGAGATCCTATCCCTTCAGGAATCGGACCGTTGAAATTGCAATCAACAAGGAATCTGGCATCCAGCGTATTATGAGTTTGTAACTAAGAACGAATAGGTAGTTTAAGAACAGCATAGAAAAACTGCAATTTGCTTACAGATTTTCAAGCTTCTTCAGATTTACTATTGCTGGTGGGAGAACTCCTGTCAAACCCTCGTTTTGAGACAAATCCCTGTATGCAGAACTTATATCAGATAACTGCATGGTTTAGTGGCCACTTATCCAAAAGCTCAAGCTATTGAGTTGGGTGATGAAATGCTTCAGATGCACTGAAAGCACATTGAGTTGTGCTAGTCTGTTTTCATTGCATGGTATAGCTTGTTGTGTAATGTGTACGTGTGTAAGGGCCCATGCACGCAGATAAACAAAGCATAAATTCTTTCTGTTAGGTTATTATATTTGAGAATCGATGAACAACAAAAGGAATTCATCACCGGATTGTCAAGCATGAATTTTGAACTAAGACTCTTTTTTTTAAGTGTTGGGGTTGAGGAGGAAGGAGAAGGTAGAGAAAACCTACAAACTTCGCAGCTCTGGAAAATTCCCAATGTCTGAGGTCAACGTGCCGGACAATCCCATGCCTGCTAGTACTCTGAAAATGGAGAAGCATGCTCTATGTTCAGATATGCTGAAGATGAACAGGTTCATGAGGACGCAAAAAAAACTATCAAAACTTAGCTCTGAGTTACATGGATGTGATACGTGAATCGGTGCACTCTATCCCTTCCCACTCACTCCCACAAGGATCGAAGCCAATCCAATTAGGCGGAGTGTTCTTCCAGTAACTCTTGAGAGCATTTAGAGCAGAAGCTGCATCAGATCGACACAACAGTTGCCATGGTTTAAACACAAAGAAAACAAATCCTTGACAAGAAACGAAGTGATGCAGGCTGAGGTGAACTTTGAGGAAGTTGGCTTTTTCACAGCAAATAACAAAATAATATAACACTCTTTGAGGCTTAATTAAGCTTAGAAAACCATAGATAAGGAACTTACAGTCATTAGGGTCTGTCACTGCGGCTATAACTAAAATCTGAAGGCAGGAGATTAGCACAAAAATCGGAAGTCCTGAACCCATTTCTTGCAGACTACAGCTCCAACTGAAAGCTCCTCAAACCTCGCAGTCTTTCTTAATTTCTTTCAGCTCGATGCTGATGCTAAAGGTAAACTTTGATGATTATAAGTTTTTTAAAAATAAAAACATATAGCCCTAGCTCTGTTGAATACGGAGTAGGTGCAATGTGGGAAATCATAATCTGCAGCAGCAGACGTGTAAGACAGGTTTTATTTGCTCATCAAAAGTTCCATTCCTGAGACAGACAAAGAAGAAAACTAATTGAAAATAATATGGTCAAAATTGTACAATAAAGGTGGTGAATAATATATCAGTTCTTAGAATCCTTCTGAACCTATCTCCCTCCAATTGGTTCGACTCGTTCAGAAGATTATTTCCTTCTTTATACGTGTTCCCTTTTGGTTTACCAAATTATGTTTTTCTTGTAGATTTGGCTTTGCTTTGCGTTCTTGTTCTTTTCATTAGGTTCTTGTTGCTTTCATTGGATGGCTTGGTCAATACATGAGTAAATTAAAAATTAGTCACTCTCGTTTAGAAAAATGAATTAATTAGCCTCTTTTCTTTCAAAAACTAATTATTTAGTTTTCTATATTTTAGTTTCGTCAATAATTTAGTTTTTTTTTTCATCAGTTATTCATTAGATTAGTGATTTTTAATGCATAATTAAATAAACTAGTACTTAATTATTATTTTTTTTTTTTGGGTTGAGGAAAGAGAAAGAAAGTGGGTGAATGAAAGAAAAAAGGCACCAAACTAAGAGCATATTAATCTTTAAACAAAATAATTATTTTTTTAAAACAATAAAGACTAATTAATTCATTTCTCAAAACAAGAGGGATTAATTTATAATTTACTCCAGAAAGTGATGGTGTGTTTGGTTTTTTAAAGAGCAGGGGCTACTTAGACCACAATTCTCATAGATCATTGCAACTTGGACCAATCATTTACCAGTTCTGTTCTATGTAATGATTACAAAATTAATTTTTAATTTAAAAACATTAAGTTACAGGGTCTATACGTTTTTCTATTATTTATTTAACTGTTGAGAAACTGTATTAAGTTATTTGGTTTCACACTAAAGTATATTAATATTGGTACGAATATTTTTATAAACAGCTGCCTTTTATCTTTTTTTTTATTATTATTTTTGAGTTTACATCCTGAAATATTGGGTTCTATCAATTTCTTTCTAAAAAATTTGTTTTCTATCAATCTATCCTAATGTTTCATCTATTTATTATTAATAAGATCCTTCTGTCTATCTTAGAACTTGAGAAAAACTAATGAAAATGTCTTTATATTTTGTAAATTTAAATTTTTTTCTATTCCTGAAAACCATATTCAAAACCCAGTTTGAATAGACAGACTGCTTCTACGAACGGATTAGCTAAAAAAAGAAGTAAATTTCAATTTGGTCCTCTAAGTTTTTTAAATTTTATCTAAAACTTTTGATTTGTTTCCATTTGATTTTTTATTTTTGTTTCAGTTTCCCCCTCCGTCTATCTTTGTTTCAATAAGCTCTTCGGCAAATGGTACCTTTGATATATGTAAATAATTAGCTGCCATTCCATTCATATAGGAGGACTTCAGCCCTTTTTTTTTTTTTTTTCAAGATTTTTCTTCAATATTTTAATAAAAAATTAGATCAAAATGTACATATGATATGCTATTGTTTTATAGCTTAATTTTATTCTTGTATTGTCAAAAAACTTCAAAATAGTGTTTGTGACAATTATATTTTTTTCTATCATATTTGTTTTATTGAAAAAAATATTTTTCTTTATTGATTTTTTCAATTGCAATTTTGTTATTTTTATCTTTCGAGTTATATTGAGATATTCTATAAACTTTGGAGATGAAATTGAAATTAATAAAAAATAGAATAAGAATGAAAGATACAGAATCTAATCGAAACAAATCAAAGATTTTAGATAAAATGGAGAAAACACAAACTTCTGGAGGCAAATTTCAAATTACCCTTAAAAAAAAAAATCAAAACTGAAGAATGGTTCCTCGAGACTCTCATAAACACTATAAAAGGTTTTTCTTTTTCTTTTTTTCCCTCTTCTTTTTCCTTTGATGTTTAATCTTGCATAGCCAGTGATTCTTCTTCTTCTTCATCTTTCTCCATTCCGGGAAGGTTCATTCTCTAGCTAGGAATCAAGCTGCTACAGTTGCGTTTTTGTAGCTTTGCTATTGCATATGAACCATGATATAGGGGCCATTTGCTTGTTACGATGGGGAAAGTCTGTACCTCGTAAAAACAAAAAGTATCTATCTTGAAAACAACCAATACACGTAAACAAAATTCTGAAAGATAGTATTATCTATAAATCCGCCCACCCAAAAACCCTTTTTTGTTATATTCAAATTTGGTTATATATTTAAATGGTGAAAAAAAAAAAAAAAGGTAGTGGCCTAGTTGCAGATAAATAAGCTTTGTGGGGAGTGGAAATTCCCATCCCAAAGTTTCAAAAAGGAGGAGAAAAAGATCACTTGCAGGATTATAGTAGTTTAAAAGATGCAACATTAGGGTTACAGTATCTCCAAGGAAAAAAAAACAAGGAATAATTAAGCTTGAGTTTCTTTTTTAGAATTTAATTTGTCAAAGTATGGAATCCAAGGCCCTGCTCCAGAAAAATATGCTTTTGAATGCTATACAATTCAAGAACATGGATGAAATTAATCAAAATGACTATTGGAAGGGAATAGAAAATGCAAACTAATATATCAAGAGTAATATAGTAATAATAATAAGATGATCAAGACAGGATAATTCAGGCACGCATACGTGCGAGACCATTTATTCATATCATGATGGTCACCTTTCCTGTGCCATCACCATCCCAATCTGCATTGATACATTCATGTTGGTACAACCCAATCCTTATCGTAATGTCATACTAGAACCCGAAACCTTTAAATTGGTATTTCACTGAACGGTACATCCATATTTCCGATGGGAAATTTTGATCTGAAAAGGAAATGAACCAAACCAATTTCAGTAGAGCAACAAGCAAAGAACATAAAACAGCAGCAACTATGGGAAAAATTAAGGGGCAATTAATCAAATAGACCCTGAATAGTATACGTCTCCCCTCCCCCATTCCCACCACCAGCAAAATAAATAAACAAACAAGCTTGAACTTGTGTTAGGCTCGACATTATTTTTTCACTCCATTCAACACATTGTTGGTGGATAAATTATTCTGGCAAACACATTACTGAAAACAGAAATAAGAAAATAAACTCGAAGAACATCAGAACAATATGCACAGCAACGTATTTATCATTTTGCTACTGAAATGTTACTGGAGACCTTTACCTTCAGGATCTACTGGTTCAACTAGTGACAGATGAAGGTGGGGCATCTGGCTGATTTTCTGGCCTCGCATTCTGGAATGCTGGCAGCTCACTATATGCATCATGCAACCTTGATAGAAGAGGGAACTGAGTCTGCACAAACAAGAAAGGAAGAACACAATTGTCAAATATGTAAAGAAATGAACACAGCAAACTAACGCATAAAATTAAGAACCTAGAAAGTAGTTGTAATATCACTTTGTACACAAAAATTCAAATGCAAGCGATTTTAAGGGGGAGAGCAAGATGAGCACTACATAAATGATGAAAAAACAAAACTAAAGATATTCACTGTAACAAATTGTGGCTACAGGTTAAATAGGGATGTACATATTTTTTTCCTCTTTATTAGTATTACATAGTTTCATTAAATAAAATATTGTAACATAACAAATTCAACACAAAATACAAGCAAAAATTAAAGATCAACACATTAGCGCAGAGTATCGCTGCATATTATAAAGCATGTGTTTGATTTGCACCAATTCAAATTGAACAGACGAACTACACGCAAAAAATAGGAATTTAATACACAAATAAAGAAACTCAGGGAACGGTAACTACCATGTCAACATTGAACCTGTTAATTGCTCCATCAATCTGTGGTGCTATAAACAGATCTGCCTGCAAGGTGAAACAATGCATCATAATTTATTCTCACACCACAGAACTGATGATTCAGCACAATGTGTCGCAAGGACTTCAAACAAACATCATCTTATAGCATTTAGAGCTCCAACAGCACTATTTCATATCAGCAAACCAGATACAGGGTTTGGAACCAGAGTCAAGCTTGATCCAGATTGTTGTCCCAGAAAAGGGTGTATATTGTACATGAAAGTTTGAATTTCAAGGCAAACGAAGATGAAGAAAAGAAAATAGAAAACAAACCAGAGACACTTCATTGCCAGTTGCATATTTTCCAGCAGAGTCTTTTAGCAGCTTCTCTAGCGCTGAGACACACAAGACATCAAGATAAATTTTAATAAGAAGCACAAACGAGCCTTAAATGTCAGCTAATATTTTATTGAATCTGATCAAGGCAAACCAAATTCAAATGGTTATCATCCATTGATTTGCATTTAAACCTAATTTACTGAGTTTAGTGTTAATGTTGGCAAATACCGAACATGACGAAATAAGTAGGGAACTATGAACCTGTCAGATGTTTCTTGTTATTACAAGTCTTGTGTGACTGTTCTTGTGCATGAATTTAGCATATAGCATAAAAGGGTACTACGAATCACAGTGATTGAGAGCAGAGAAGAAAGGTCTGTATGTACACGTCGTCGGTTTTAACAGCCTATGGAAATAGAGAAGTGAAAAGCTATTTGTCTAGCTTTTACACAGAAAGAGAATTCAACATTGAAGACTACTCGGGAAGAGCAAATGAAATTTCAACTTTTCCACTTTGCATTTAAAGAAAAAAGTTGGTTTACCTGCAAACCCTTTGTTAATATGACTCTGAACCCAAGGAATCACCTCATCTGCACTAACTTTTTCCTTAATATACTTCTGTTTACAGGTGCAGCAAAACAGCATAAGCAACATAAGTTGTCTGGCAATGTCAGATAAACATCATCTGAATTCTAACGCAATAAACGGATTAACAAGGGCAATAATCTCATACTTACTAGCACAGCCATGTTCTGAAGAGGCTGTATGTTTGAGCAAACAACATTTGCAGCCTAAAATAGAAGAGATTAAAGGAAAACAATCAATATTTTGACACCCAGCACAGGAGCTGTTGGTAAAGCTGAGCTGAGTGTCAAGGGAAAGAACATATATAGCCATAACAAACAGTTGTGCCCAATTAAATCAGGAACTCAAATTTATGATCAGAGCAGCTCGTATCAAAAGTGCAACTTCCGATAATGAAGCCAATTTGTGTTTGCGGATGGATTATTGGTACAAGTGGTGGGCAAACAAGATATAGTAGTAAATAAGCTAGGAAGGATGTGCAATGTAACCTGATAATTAAGGGCCTTTTTCTTAAGATCACTAGGCAACAAGGGATGCTGAGGGTACTTCTCTTCCAAATACTACATCAGGAAAAATTAAAAAGAGAGTCAATCGATGAACACCATCATATAACAAAGAAGCAAAAAAGTACCACCCAAAAAGCGAGAGCGAGAGCGAGAGAGAGAGAGAGAGAGAGAGAGAGAATGGGTCACCATTAAAATGGCAAGCGAGTCAGCAATTACAATGTCCCCATCAACCAGCGTAGGCACATATCCAAGAGGATTCAGCTTTAAGAAATCTACCCAGAATATGTATTAAAAAAAAAAAAAAAAGAAGACTACATTTAGCACAACTCTGAACACGAGAAGAGGAAATAAAGAGTGGAATAACAGATAAGAACAGAGGAAAAAAAAAAAAAAACACTAGTAGCAAGTAATTAGTCATTACCAGGATTGAACTGTTCTCCTTTAAGCAAGTTAACAGCCATATAATCATATTCGAGCCCTGTAAAAAAGAAACTAAAAATCAAGATTTGAAAATGAAATCCCACCAAGAAAAAAAAATCGAAACTTCAAGCAAAACAAGAGGAAAATGGAAAACCTTTGAGGTTAAGAGCAATACGAACACGTTGAGAGCAAGAACTCCTCCAGTAAGAATACAGCTTCAACTTATTGTTATTTATATCTCCACTTTCTGCCTGTACATCACATATAACCACCAATCAAAACAAGAAAAAGATTCACGTTTTAAGCATATCATACCACATAAGAAGTAAATGAAAGAGAAACAGAGAGAAGCAGACCATCACACTTTCTGCCTTCTCCTTCTCTCTACAAAATCGCAATTTGGTTTTTTCTCTCACAAACTGTAAAAGGATTTTTTCTTTTTGGATAATTACATTATTAGTACATCAATTTTATATCTTTTATCAATCAAGTATATCAATTTTAATTGTTTTCATTTGAATATCTTTTTTTTTAAAAAAAAAAAACTTCCAATCAAATGCTTTTGTTTAACTTTTGATTTCTCAATTTTTTTATTTTTTTGATAATGCGTCCTTTAATTTTACTAAATGAAATTTGTAATGCTAGTACATCAACTTTTAATTTTTCTCAATTGAATATATAAATTTTAATTTTTTTATTTTAATAAATTATTTTTTTATTCTGTCAATCGAGTACATCTATAAGAAATCTATTAAATTTTTCATTTAGTTTTGAAATCACATGATTTTTCTTTCTTTGATTAAAATAATAAATATTTTAGTTACATTAATAATTTTTTATTTTAATTAATCATAAAGCAGTGTTTAACTTTAGTATAAAATGTGGGTGGCTTGTTATTAATTAAAATAATTTTCTTTTTAAGATATTTATTTCAATTAAAAATTTTTTTTTTTTTTGGTTGCTGTCCGCATAAAAATAGTGGCAGCATCATTTTGCACGTCTTCGTAGGATTATTATCCGCTTATTTGTTTGTTTGTCTTTTTACGTTGTATCGATTGATCGTACCAAGTACGTGTCTTTGTGTTTATCTCTCTTGTATCACGTAAGTGTTCTTAGTTGTGTTTGGAATAAAATACAATTTCTAGGTGGAAGACTAATGCTCGTTCTGGTTGCATGTTTTGTGGAAGTTTTCCAGCCAAAGATTCCTTCGCAACATACAACAAGTTTCCATTTTTAAACTCTGCTTCTGAAAGATTGCTCAGAATATTTCATTTTGTCAAGCTAAGCATTGACCTTCTACTCGTATTAAGCTTGAATTTCTTTTCTAGAACTTAATTTGTCAGAGTAAGGAATCCATGGCCCTGCTCCAGAAAAATATGCTTTTGAATGCTATACAATTCAAGAACATGGATGAAATTAATCAAAATGACTATTAGAGGGAATAGAAAATGCATACTAATATATCAAGAGCAATATAGCAATAATAATAAGATGATGATCAAGACAGGATAATTCAGGCATGCATACGTACGAGACAATTTATTCATATCATGATGGTCACCTTTCCAATGCCATTACTATCCCTAATCTGCACTGATACATACATGTTGGTACAACCCAATCATTATTATAATGTCATACGAGAAATTGTAAGCAACAGTGCTTTACACTGAACGGTGCTCTACGTCGATGTTTTCCGATGGGAAAATTTTGATCTGAAAAGGAAAATGAACCAAACCAATTTCAGTAGAGCAACAAGCAAAGAACATAAAACAGCAGCAAATATGGGAACAATTAAAGGGCAATTAATCAAATAGACCCTGAATGATGAAAAAGCAATCGCATTACTGAAAACAGAAATAAGAAAATAAACTTGAAGAACATCGGAACAATATGCACAGCAACGTATTTATCATTTTGCTCCTGAAATGTTACTGGAGACCTTTACCTTCAGGATCTGCTGGTTCAACTAGTGACAGATGAAGGTGGGGCATCTGGCTGATTTTCTGGCCCCGCATTCTGGAATGCTGACAGCTCACTATATGCATCATGCAACCTTGATAGAAGAGGGAACTGAGTCTGCACAAACGAGAAAGGAAGAACACAGTTGTCAAATTGTATGTAAAGAAATGAACAGCAAACTAACGCATAAAATTAAGAACCTTGAAAGTAGTTGTCATATCACTTTGTACACAACAATTCAAATGCAAGCAATTTTAAGGGGGAGAGGGAGATAAGCAATACATAAATGACGAAAAAGCAAAACCAAAGATATCCACTGTAACAAAATGTGGCTACAGGTTAACTAGTGTGATTCATAGTGGGATTTACATTTTTTTTTTTCCTCATCTTCATTAGTATTACATATTTTCATTAAATAAAATATTCTACCATAATAAATTCAACACACACTACAAGCAAAAATTAAAGATCAACCCTTCAGCGCAGAGTACTGCTGCATATTATAAAGCATATGTTTGATTTATACCAATTCAAGGTACATGCAAAAATAGGAATTTAATACGCAAATAAACAACCTCAGGGATCGGTACCTACCATGTCGAAACCGACACTGTCAATTGATCCTTGAATCTGTGGTCCTATAAACAGATCTGCCTGCAAGGTGAAATAAATAATGCATCATAATTTATTCTCACACCACAGAAGTGAGGATTCAGCACAATGTTTCACAAGCACTTCAAAAATGCATCATCTTATAGCATGTAGAGCTCCAACAGCACCATTTCATATCAGCAAACCAGATCCAGGGTTTGGGACCAGAGTCAAGCTAGATCCAGATTGTTGTCCCAGAAAAGGGTGTATATTGTACATGAAAGTTTGAATTTCAAGGCAAACAAAGAGGAGGCAAAGAAAATAGAAAACAAACCAGGGACACTTCATCGCCGGTTGCATATTTTCCAGCAGAGTCTTTCAGCAGCTTATATTTTATTTAATCTAAGCATGGCAAACCAAATTCAAATGGCTATCATCCATTGATTTGCATTTAAACATAATTCACGCAAATACTGAACATGAACAAATAAGTGGGGAACTATGAACCTGTCAGAAGTTTCTTGTTATTACAAGTCTTGTGTGACTGTTCTTGCGCATGAATTTAGAGTATAGCATAAACGGGTCCTATGAATCATATTGATATTGAGAGCAAGAGAAGCAAGGTCTGTATGTACAAGTCGTCATGGAAATAGAGAAGTGAAAAGCTATTTGTCTGGACTTTACACAGAAAGAGAATTCAACATGGAAGACTGCTCTGGATGTAATTTTTAGCAAATGAAATTTCAACTTTTCCGCTTTGTATTTTAAAAAAAAGTTGGTTTACCTGCAAACCCTTTGTTAATATGATTCTGAACCCAAGGAATCACCTCATCTGGACTACCTTTTTCCTCAATATACTTCTGTAATAGGTGCAGCAAAACAGCATAAGCAACATAAGTAGTCTAGCAATGTCAGATAACATCATCTGAATTCTAACACATAAACGGATTAGCAAGTGCAATAATCTCATTATGATACTTACTAGCACAGCCATGTTCTGAAGAGGCTGTATGTTTGAGCAAACAACATTTGCAGCCTAAAATGGAAGAGATTAAAGGAAAACAATCAATATTTTGACACTCAGCACAGGAGCTGTTGGTAAAGCTGAGCTGAATCTCAAGGGAAAGAACATATATAGCCATAACAAACAGTTGTGCCCAATTAAATCAGGAACTCAAAATTTATGATCAGAGCACCTTGTATCAAAAGTGCAACTTCCGATGATGAAGCCAATTTGTGTTTGCTGATGGATTATTGGTACAAGTGGTGCGCAAACAAGATGTACTAGTAAAAAGGCTAGGAAGGATATGCAATGTAACCTGATAATTAAGGGCCTTTTTCTTAAGATCGCTAGGCAACAAGGGATGCTGAGGGTACTTCTCTTCCAAATACTACATAGTTCAGGAAAAATTAAAAGAGAGTCAATCGATGAACACCATCGTATAACAAAGAAGCAAAAAAGTACCACCCAAAAAGCGAGAGCGAGAGCGAGAGAGAGAGAGAGAGAATGGGTCACCATTAAAATGGCAAGCGAGTCAGCAATTACAATGTCCCCATCAACCAGTGCAGGCACATATCCAAGAGGATTCAGCTTTAAGAAATCTGCCCAGATTACGTATCAAAAAAACAAAAGACTACATTTAGCACAACTCTGAACACAAGAAGAGGAAATAAAGAGTAGAAGAACAGATAAGAACAGAGGAAAAAAAAAAAAAAACTAGTAGCAAGTAATTAGTCATTACCAGGATTGAACTGTTCTCCTTTAAGCAAGTTAACAGCTATATAATCATATTCGAGCCCTGTAAAAAAGAAACTAAAAATCAAGATTTGAAAATGAAATCCCACCAGGAAAAAAAAAAAGAAAAAAAATCAAAACTTCAAGCAAAACAAGAGAAAAATGGAAAACCTTTGAGGTTAAGAGCTATAAGAACACGTTGAGCGCAAGAACTCCTCCAGTAAGAATACAGCTTCAGCTTATTGTTATTTATATCTCCACTTTCTGCCTGTACATCACATATAACCACCAATCAAAACAATACAAAAACTCACGTTTAATCATATCATATCATAGCACATAAGAAGTAAATGAAAGAGAAACAGAGAGAAGCAGACCATCACACTTTCTGCCTTCTCCTTCTCTCTACCAAATCGCAATTTGGTTTCTTCTTTCACAAACAATAAAAGGATGTTTTTCTTTTTGGATAATTACGCTATTAGTACATAAACTTTATATCTTTTATCAATCAAGTATATCAATTTTAGGATGTTTTTTTTTAATTGTTATTTTTTGGAAGGGTATTTTTATAAAGAAAAAAACTATATTTAAAATAAATAGATGACATAATTACCTGATTGTTACAGTAAAAAAAGATATATCAAGATGACTGTAATTAAAATTCATGTACTTGATTGAAATTAAATAAAAGTTGGTATACCGACAATGAATTATTGTCAAATAAGGCGCCCTCGTATGCCGGAATCAGCTGCAGCTGAATCTGAGTCAATTGAATGCTTGAAAATAGAAATGATATTTTTTTTGTTTGGATTACCTGGATTTCTCTTGATGTTGCTTTTTTTGAAAGGAACTTCAGTAGCTCCACTTCAAGATCTGTAATCTTTATTTTTGGACTTGCCGGCTGGAATCGGTGACTTCTGAAGGTTGATTTGATTAATTGCCACAACAGCTGCAGCAACATGGCAAATGTCAAAGGAAGACAGTAAGAAAAGACGTGGTTAAATTGTTAGCCACGTCATGCATAAATAATTCTCATAAATAAGCCTTTTTTTTTTTTACTTTATAGGAAAAAAAAAAACAAGATTAGGAAATCCAACCACTTTTAAATTAGAGTAATTATTGTCAAGTTAAACTACCGTAGTTATTCTCCTAAAAAGTGGTATCCATCTGTTACGTTCCTAAAAATTCTGCAGAGCATACACCTTGACCTCGCGCTCTTGTCCTGCCACAAGCTATTTCGACAAAGTTAGCAAAAGGAAGATGGGAAGCAGTGTTGAATTACTTTTAATAAAATATATATTTTTATTAAGATTTAAAAAAAAAAAAAAAAAAAAGGTATAAGTTTTGTTTCAAATGGCTATTACCATTTGATGAGACACACAACAACAATATCATTTTTCTTACTTTGTGGAGAGTGAAAAAAAATGACAAATAATTTCTTTTTTATTTTGCTTAGAGAAAAAAAGTTTCTTTCAATTTTATTTTTATTTTTTTTCCCACTATAAAGTCATATAATGTTTATTTGTTTTAGTTTTTGGATAAAAGTGATGCTAAATTTTATTTAGAGTTTCAAGTCTTATAAATAATGCAAACTTGTTAAGACACGACAAGGTGGCTAAACTTGTTGTATCCCCGAGATACCGTGTAATATATTCTTTATCCATTGCATTTGATAAATTCTACGGATGATGTGTATCGTCTCAAGAAAGCAACTTGATTGTGCCTCGAGCCGATCACCTAAAAATTATGATAAAACTATTTTGGTGGTTCGATCATCTTTATACCATAAAACATGGTAATGTGATTTTAATCATTAATTTTTCTAATCATCAAGGTAAAAATTCCCAATTCTTTATTTATTTTAATTTACAATAAATTTATTTATTTATTGTGTCAATTTTTATTATTTAATTATGGTCCTTTTGTGTATTAGAAACAACAAATAGTTTGCTTAAGCAAACAATATATACAAAGGGAATTGTTCATGTCTTTAGTCAATACGATGGGGACTTTATATAGCCTTTCTTACAATGGTAACAAGCAACAAAATTGGAGAGCTAATAATCTAATGTTAACAATCAAACGAACTATTATAAAGGAAGTAAACTAACAATAATGACCTATTCTTAAGGAATTAACAAGTGCATGTCGGCAATATTTATTCTAACCTATTCTAAAAAGATAAACGAGATAATGGAGTGACTATTGCTTCTAGAGAATGTTGGTTTGTAACATGGTCACAACGAGTTTTTAGCTAGAAGTGAAGGTAGATTGTCAAAAGAGAGGTAGGTGATTTTGCCTAAAGTTAGAGCGTGAGAGAGAGGAAGAAAATTTGGTTGTTTGGTGGCTAAAAAATAAGGAAAATACTGAAAAGAAGAAGAAAGGAATGGAAGAAGGGAAAGAAAGATGAACACTAATCCAACTAGAGGTAAAATGATGCTATTTCACTCCTGGTTTTACTATTTTTTGTATTCACTCGTTATATGAAACGACGTTGTCCAATTAAATGAATTTGTTTCAATCTCTCAATTTCTCCACGTTTTTTACTTCAATCTTTCTCCTTTTGTTTTTTCTTTTATTTTTATTTGTTTATTTCGACCCTTTATCATTTTAATTTCTCTTAATTGTATCCCTACTTAACAATTTTCTTTCTTTTTTTATTCTCCTCAATCCTCATTCTTTTTGTTTTCTTTTGATCTTGTCATTGCATTTTTTTTGTATCCCCATTCTTGCTATTTTCTTTTAGTTTCATCCCAATCTTCCTTTCTATTGTTTCTTCTTCTCGTTTTTTTTTTTCAATTTCATTTTGGTTTTTTTTTCTTCTAGCTTTCTTTTTTTTTCTTTCTTTTTTTTTTTTTGGCTTTTAAAAAAAAAATAGGAAGAATACCAACATTTTCTAAAAGCATAAAATTTATAAAATAACTAAAAATTATAAATATATTTAAAAAAAATAATATTTTTTGATAAATAAATTTTTATGATAGTTCTAAGATTCAAAAATAATTATGACAACATGACAGTAGGAATTCATCCAATCTAATACATGATAGTTAAACATGTTGTCATGTGCCGATATCATCACCTATTTAGTAAAAAAAAAAAAAAAAACAAATGGCTTTCATGATTAAAAATACAAGGAAGTTTTGTAATAGAAAAAAAGAAAAAGAAAAGAGAATCTTTAATTATTTGTTTGACAAGTAACAATTGTTATTTCTTGACATTTTATCATTTTATCGTTAGGTTGGAGGACTTTTTATTTTTTTGGACAATATAAAATTTTTATTCTTCTATAAAAAGTACGAATATCTTAATTCTTTGGTGTGATACTTATTTAAAATTTTGGATGCGTACTTCTAGTGTATCTAACATACACACAATCAACACCTGTTTTGACTTAACCCTACCTAAACTCAATAACTTTTCTATTTTTTTTCCCCTTTTCTATATATCTCATTTCATTTTTTTTCTTATATTGTTATTGCTCATATAATAAAAATTTTAGGATAAATATACCTATTTATCCTTATATAATACTAAAAGTCTTTCATCAATCCCTAATTTTTCAATTATATTTTATCTATCTTTAAAAATTTTTGAAATGTTTAATTTTTCCTTTCGATCAAATTTTTTGACCATGAAATGTTTTTGACCCAAATGGCATTTACTTAAATGAAAAAAAAAAAAAACCCCCTCAAAGTCACATGATTTGCATGTTCTTTTTTTAGGTCTATATGTATATACACACTCAAAGTTTCCTATCTATTTCTAAATTTTCGATTGCATCCAATCCGTTCTTGAAATTTTTTAAAATGTTTACTTTGTCTTTTTTATCAAATTTTTCTACTATCAAATTTTATTTACTGAAATGCCCTTTATTAAAAAAAAAAAAAACTTAAAATCACATGACATACAAGCTTCATTTTTTAAGTCTTTAGAATTTTATTTTATTTATTTTTTATTTTTTGCATTTCAATCGGGGACATTTCGGTTAAAAAAAAATTGGCCGGAAAAAATGATCGAAAGACAAATTAAATATTTTAACTACTTTGAGAGTTAAATAGGATGCAATTAAAAATCCAGAGACACATGAAAGACTTTAAATATTATATAAGAACATATGATCATATTTATCCTCTTTTTATTTTATTTATTTAATTATTTTACATTTCAACCATGAGTATTTTAGTAAAAAAAAATTATATGGTCAAAAACATTAATTGGAAAGACGGATTGAATATTTCAAATATTTTCAAATATAAATGAAATGCAATTAGAAATTTAGGAATATGTGAAAGACTTTTTGTATTATATAAGGACGAGATGATTATAAAAGTAATACTCTATAGTATTTTCATTAATTTTTCATAAGTTTAAAGGAAACATCCTTTTTCTAGTTTTATGTTTTTTCTTTTAGTTAATGTTAGTTTTTTTCCTACAAAATTTTTATGATTGGATTTTTATGCAACTATAAAAGGAATTATCTAACACAAAATTTATTTTAAGTGCAACTAATCTGACATATTCCCTTCACTATTTTTTTTTTTACTAGTTTCTCTCACTAAACTTTTGTTCTATAATATTTGCTTCTAGTAGAACATGAGAAAGATATTTGGAGGGGCTGAATTAAAACTATATATTATATTCACTATGCCTTTGCAACTATATCCAACTTTATTCTTGTAAGCTAGTAATATTACAAATACATAGTTCACATATAGCAACTTTTTAACCAAAGCTCACTTAAAAATATGATAATACCTAAGCACATTTTCTTTCTCTTTTCTAAAGGAGACAATATTTATGAAAGCTAAAATACTTGGAGGGATCAAATGAAACATTCTTAGAAAAACAGGGATGAATAGGAACTTCTCAATAAGCTTACAAGGGCCATGGCTATTACTTGCCCCTTGTAGTTCTAGGTATGTTCGTTGGTCACATGTTGTTTCATATTGTTCTTTTAATATGTTGTATACAATACAAAAGCTAGAGGTGACAAAATGGCACTAAAACAATAACAGAACATCTTGAACTCAATGAAATGCTGAATGTCATCCCATTCGGACATTGACTTTGCAATTGGCAAACAGAAAGCCATTATTAGAATAAGGTAGGAGGTTAATTAAGATGGCAGAACTTTACACTAGGCAACCATGGGATAGGCATCCGGAGAAGGCATGATGCAATTATCACCATTGAAATAGATTCTCCGAGGGAAGGCCCAGCCCTTCTGGGAAGTAAAAGTTGGTGCCTTGTCTTTTCGGAAAAGCAACTCTAGCTGAACATTACCAGAACGACCAGCTTGCATCAGTACATCATCGTAGGACTTAATTCCCCACAGCATGGCAGTATCATCTGTAGTGTCCGAAAAGTACAATATGATGATCAGAATTAACCCCTAATCACCTATTCCACTGATCCAAAAGCAAATAAAAGCAACCACAAGGAGACATGTGACTTACTAGTAGTTGAATGAGGAGCTAATGATTTGTATTTAGCGCTGAAAGCCTGGGTCAGATGGTCGAAATTGGGGTGTTGGACAACTAAGTTCCATTGTGTATAGTTCATACGATAATTCAAATTTGTAATGGTGATCTTAACCCGCCAGTAATCCTTGTCGTTAAGCTTAACATGCCAGTTAATTTTGATTGGGCACATATGACTTGAGCATTGGACAAGAGGCGTAAGGCTGTTCTTTTGGCCTGGACTTGGAAGCTGTGGTGATTTTGGACTGCAAACAAGAAATTGTAAAGCGATGGTAAATTTAGTCTATCCCGAAAAAACTAGACCTAGAAGAGAAACCATATTCCTAGGAGGGAAGGAACTTACTCTACACAACCCTTTGAAACAGTATTGCTTTTTGGGCAGCCACAAGAACATGTTGGGCATGGTGCTATTGTCTTGTTGTTGAAAGATGAGAGGGAGACACAGCAAGCAGGAGCCTTGTGAGCCAGAAATTGTGAATATGTGCATGTAATATTCCAGGTCACTGCAATTAGGAAAAAAAAAAGTATGAAACTTATTTCCAATATCTCCATGGAAGCAGGCAAGCATTGGTTTTTCAGTCACTCCAAATTAAAATTCATTGAATCACATATATTTTAGAGATCCACCATATTTGCTAGAGATAGATGTGGGTTAAAGCAAGATTTTGATTATAAGAAAGGAAAATGTATGTGCATAAGTTGTTCTACACTCTACGGTATTACTTACTCAAAGCTTGTGTCACTCTCCTTTTATCTGCAGTTATAAATCTAGTAGGTTTAACAATTTTTGCAAGACCACATGTATAACCAGGCCCTGGTGTCTTCAGAGTGATGTTTCTAGGCAATCTGACTGTTTCATTACTAGTTCCAGCTGAACCAACGCTAAGCTGGAAGGAACTTGCTGCATTGGCTGGATCTTGAGCCCATGAGCTGATAACTCCCCCTTGCAGCAGTTTGCAACCTGTTGGTTATAAGGAGTTCCTGGCAATAAATCGACAACTGTCGGAGTCTTTTTACAACAATGTGGAACATTTCCTTTGAATTTTGAACAATCTCCTTGCTCTGTTGTTTGGCCTCCCATCATGCTCCATATTATCTCCTTCTTTTCCCATGTCCATTCCAGTGACCACCCTGGTGCTTGAATGTGACGAAACTGCTGGAAGTTGAAGATCGTGACAACAGCCTATCATGCATGAAGTTGTTAGTAAACCACAGATGTGGAGTCTCAAGAGAAGCTACAAGTTTCATGGATGCTAGCAAACCACAAATTTGAGAAAAATGCAAAAGAGAAACTACTGAACAGTTCAGTAGATTATGATACCACTTAAGTACACCCTTTCTTTAATGAGACAAAAGGCATTAAAATTCAGTGAGGAAAAGATAACCCAAATTATTGAAGAAACAGGGCACCGGAAAACTTCAATCATGCACCCTAAATGAATTATACTAGAATTTGTAACAACTCTAAAAAGTTGGTAAGCTCAAGGAACTCTAATGAACTCAAGTAAAATGCAAATATAATACAGGTGATGTAGAAGATTGATTGTATTGCCCGATAAAATTAACCAAGTGCTTCAAGAACTCCCAAGAAACAACTACTCTTAAGACAAAATTGAAAAACTACTTCAGCAACAAAACGTAGTTAATAATCCAAAGCAAAAGACAGCTAATAGTCTATGGCAAGGAACGAAACATAAAGTACATCAGACATAAATACCAAATTTACTGTACATTGTTTTACTACGAGAATCAAAATTGTCTATTATGCTATTTGGCCTTTATCCATGTTCAAGTTTAAGCTTCCTATCATTAGTTGATTATATACAGTGATTAGTACTTACGACATAGCCATCAGGAGTCCAACTTATGATGTCCCATTTGATTGTAATATTCCCAGTAGGGTCAAGAGGATCGTAGGCTTCTGCAAAATTGATAAACAGCAACTTGCTTTAGAAAGACAATGGCCCAAAATTATTCAAAAAAAATAGAAATTTAAACTGGTAAGCAGAAGAGCTAAGAGCTCAAAACTCAAACATATTGGCCAACAATTAAAATAGCAATGACACTAAAATCTAACAGAAACTTTAAACCAAAAATTAAAATAAAAGTAAAGAAAATAGGAAAAGAAGACCACATGTAGCACCGATTAGGGTATTACTAGTTAAAAATTAAGAGTCCAATTTTCTCTTTCTAATCATATTTTCCTAGTTACTAATCAAGCTTGAATGATAAAACCACAATCCGAAATCGCTTACATTAGGCACGACCCATAGTAGAAAGCTATAAATTGAAAAATAAAAAGCTCAGGATTTCAATGAAAATCCATTAACAAAAACAAGTAAAAAAGACACCAAAAGATCATGATTCTTTAAATATTTCACAAATGAAACCACCCCATTTCCTCATTCATTAAATTCAAGAAAAAAACTTTCCCAAGTATCACTCTAACTAATGAACCAAACCCCAACAATGTCCATTATATAAAGCATAATTTTTTAATAAACTACACCCCCCACTAACATCACAAAGAGCTCATCTCTGGAAAGACAAAAAACCAAAATAAAGAAAAAAACAGAGAGAGAGAGGGAGAGCTTTGCCAACCTGTTGACGTAAAACTAGTAAACCAAAGCACAAACAGGAGCAGAAGAGTGAAATTTGAGGACAAACTCATTATGGGAGAGAGGAAAGCCGATTTCTTGACGAGCAGATTATGTTGTGTTTTTTGGTTACTTAATTTTTTGTTAGCTCAAGGCACAATGAAGAGGGTAAAGAACACGGTGATGACTGACTAACTGGCACTTGGTGATGCATACACTCTGAATTTCAAAGTGGTAATGCTGTCGGCTCAGTTTACGGACTAAAAAAGTGGCTCATCTCCACTCTGAATTTCAACGGAGAAAATTTCAAAGTCAGCTTAATAGTGGGACAATTTTTCAGTGGGGCTTACGATAAGGAGCAATCGTTAATTAATGCATACAGATCGTATAAGTCTTGGATTCTGTACCAAAGAAATCTTGCATGTGCAAAACAATAATGGTGTTTGAGGATACCGAAAGCCGAAAGAGCAATTTTATTTTGAGAGAGATGCTCAAAATCCATGAACATTGACCGAAACTGGTGTAGCATGAGAGGGAAAGGACGCAAGGTCTTGTAGAATTGGTTAAAAGAAAGGTTAAAGAAAGAGAATAAAAAAAGATTAAAACGAAAGCAAGATAAAAAAACAGGGATGAAAAAAGTAAAAAAAAGTTAACTAACCGCCAAAAAACGGGAACTGATTTTTAAACTCTGCTTCTGAAAGAGTCCTCATAATATTTAATTTTGTCAAGTTAGGCATTGACCTTAATTTCTACTCGTATTAAAACTAGAAACTTGCTCGAGAATCAGCTGCAAAATGACTTGTTAAACAATCTTCTTTACAGGACACTTATAAATTCCATCATTTCCTCCCAAGAACAAGGCGATACAATCATGCTATCCTCCAAAAGAACCAAAATAAGATTATCTTCTTGCCAACCATCATTCCTGTTATCAGCGGAAATACTTGCCAATAATGAAGACCTCTTAGCTGAAATTCTTCTCCGTCTTCCCATCAAATCCCTCCTCAAATTCAAGTGTGTATCCAAGAATTGGCTTTCTCTCATATCGAACCCTCGCTTCTCTCACCGCCGCAACGACAACTCCCCCTGTTGTGGTCTTTTTCTGGTTGAGTGTGGTTCACCGTATGCTGAATACCAATTTGTTGCTCTTGATTCCAGCCACTCTAAAGCTCCTTTTAAACACTTGACTTTTGTTAATGATCCATCAGAAATCGAACTCATTCAATCTTGTAATGGATTGTTGCTGTGTCGTAGTTTTCGTCCAAGTGGACCTGACAGAACTTACTACGTTTACAATCCTACTACCAAGCAATACACTATACTTCCTCGACTGCGTCGCGTTTTAGGTGCTGCTTTAGCTTTTGATCCTTCCAATTCACCTCATTACAAAGTGATTTGTGTACGTAAACGTAGATCTTTACAACATCATTATCAGATAGAGATTTATTCATCAAACAATGGTCCGTGGAGGGTTTCTGGTACTCCTTTTACCGCAGAAGACCAAATGGTATTCAAGAGCGGGGTCTTCTGTAATGGAGTTATTCACTGGCTCAATGTTTCAGGTGGTACTTTATTATGTTTTGATGTTGATGGAGAACAGCTTAAAGAAACGCCAATGCCTCCGGCTCCTCAAATTGATGATGGTTTGGAACAGAGACAAGTTTGGTATTTTGGAGAATCTCAGGGGCGCTTGCATCTTGTTGAGCTTCCCCCTCAAGCTACTACACAACTTGATGTGCATGAGATGAGGGCAGACTGCTCCGGATGGTTTGTAAAGTGCCGCATCGATCTTGATGCAATTGCTGGTGCATTTCCAGAGATGATTATGAGCTCGTCTCCCAACTTCTGGGAGGTGACTAGTTATGCTTTTGAGATCCTGGTTTTTGTTAGGGGAGAAAGAGAGGAGAACTCGTTCTCCGTGCTGCTGCACATTCCAGGAAAAGTTATACGCTATGACTTCAAGGATAAGAGTTCGACGACGCTTTGTGACTTTAATCCGACGGTAGAGGGATTGGATTTTGGGCCGGAGAATGAATCGAACTTCGTAATGTTTGACGTTTATCAGTATATTGAGAGTCTTTCCTGTGTTTGATGTTGTTTCGGTTAGCAAAGTTCAGTTATTTTGGGCATGTTTGATTCTGAGTTTCTGACATTATGAATTTGAGTTGCATTTTCAGATTTTATTTCTTGTTCTGAGTTTTCAGCAGAATAAATGTTGGTAAAATTTTTGTTCTGGTATCATTGTTTAGTTCATGATTCAAGTAGAAGTAACTTTTAACTTGAAAATCTAACTAATCACTGATACCCAAAAACCAGTTCCTAAGCAATTTTTGGCTGAGTGAAAGACCTTCACAAGAAAATATATATTGCTAACCAAAAATGGCCCTTGAAAATGGAAAGGTTCCTAGTGTAGATTTTTCACCTATACTTAGTTAAGAAGATGAAGAACCATCAGCTTTCTCAATAAATATAATGGCAGGCATAAATTCAATTCAAGCAAAGCATGCAAGAAAAAGCCTTTAAGTTGCATTTAATGGATGGTGAAGCTGGTTGGGAAATATTTCAATATTCATTAGAAAAATATGCAAGCTTCAAGGTCCAAACCAGGGCTTAAATTTACCTGACAACAAATGGGACGAGCAACGATCCATCTGCCGCTGTCAATGTGCCACGACTTGTTAAAGAACTTGTCAGTGGCCCGGAGTGATTGATGGTGTAGGAAAGCACAAAGAGCCATTGACTAAAAGTGTCATTATTATCGAGTAGTTGAAATTGCATTATGAAATTAAAGATAAAAGAGTTATTGCCTGACTCAACCAGAAAGTGATCTCTCCATTTCTCATTGTTCAGACCAATCAAAATTCAAAAGCCACCCACCACCATTCTATGCCAGCTAATAGGAAAGCAGGGAAAAGAGAGGCACAGAGAAAGAAATGCGGAATAATAATTGAAATCTACCCCGATTTACTATATCTATTTTGGTTTAATATACATGTAACGATGCGAGCAAGCAATACTGGGTGTATCAAGAAGAGCAAAAGCAAGCATCTAACTAGTCCAAAGCATCAGCATCTTTCTTGTGCTGCCACTGTTTCTTGCCCAAGGAATCGGCCAAAGAATAAATGTTTGGCCAACACTTGAAAGGATTGTAAAAGTGCATCATTGCATTGCAAATTTAAGCTAAACTTACCATTGGATTCTGGAGAGGTTTGTTAAATTCACTTGCTAAGTTTACAGGTACAATTGCTGGGGCACTGGAAAGAGACATGACACTTTCGCTGTTGCTAATTGGCCCTTTCTCACAGATTTATATGCATCCACATAACAAAGCTGGGGACCATATCATCTTTGCGTTGTTGGTGCTTTTAGCAATAAGGTAGTCCCGGAATCCAACAAAGCCAATCATCAATTCCACATTTCTTGTCCGATGGCTGGAATGTGCAAAAGTTTGCTTCAAGTTAGAATTGCTGCTTCAAACTTCCTCCATAAACGATGACATCACGAACCTCCACTTGTTGTGTCTGTGGCTGAAGCTATCAACTTTTTTGCTTGAAGTGAATAACCATTTCCACTTTCCCCACGCACGTTGACATCATCCTTGTCATCGACTTTGTTGTAACTATTGCACAAGATCTTGAAAGAAATAAAAAATGTCAAAATTTTTGCCCAAAATCAACTGCAGAGTGACCTGCCACCAAAACCCAGTTCAATTTTCAGCAAAATGCCACAGATGTTATTATCTTCCAATTTCTTCAAGTTTCCAGAGGATTTGCTTAATGTTAGGTCTAAGAGGTGGGGAAGGAGAACAACAAGCCATAGCCAGCTGAAAGAATTTGAGTACACATTCTTCAGTAACTGGTCTTTCATTATCATTAACATTGCTAAGAAGTATGTTTGGATGATATAAATCAGCAATTCTACGATCAAGGACTGCGTTTCGCATGAAAGTTGGCAGATAAAAATCCTCATCAGCGGTTGGATTCTCATTGATTGGTTCCTTCCCTGAAAGTAATTCAAGCAGAATTATTCCAAGACTATATATATCAGTCTCCACGGTGACCTCTTTCATTTTGATAAGTTCGGGAGCTTTATATCCCTCAGCTGCAGAAGCTTCAAGCATTTCCTGGCCAGCAGTAGGATTCAAGAGAAGATGTAGGCCAAAGTCGGAGATGCATGGCTGGAAATTGCGATCCAATAATACATTCTTTGATTTGAGATTCCCATGAATTACAGGCTTCTGAAATCCAGTGTGTAGATGATCCAATCCTTTAGCTATTGCAATAGATATCTTATAAATGACAGTCCATTTGTGCGACTCGGCATTTCCATCTGCCCAAAAAACACAGAGTTGGTCCATTGAAGCTAAACATTTTGCAAACCAAAAGCATGAAAATGACAGGACTTTACTTGAAACAGCTAGAAACAATTTGATTGTACAAGCTGAAAATTGCTGAGCATCATTTTAGGGAAGGCTAAATGACAAAGGTAGGTGCCGACAGCCACAAATTAGGCAGCATTTAAACCATTATTGGTATAATGTATAAAAAAAAAAAAAAAAATCAATCTTAATCCAGTCAAAGCCTTCTTCTCTATGAAACACTGGACCACAATAACCTCAAGAAAAAAATAAATTAAATAAATGAAAACAAGTGAAAGATTGAGCTAAAAAAATGAAAACTTCATATTCTGGTTGGTTTGGTTCTTCAAGATCTATGCAAGCTCGAAGATACCAAAACAAGACGCACCAGTCAACTAACCCTTTACACATCCTAATCAGAAAGGAATTGGTGACACCAAAAGAATCTAAATGGAATTTGCTGATGCTAAATCATTTCTGAAAAAAAGAACGTTTCAGCAGAAAACTAAAAGATTGGAACTATGTACTAATTAATACAAAACAGAAATTGCAACTTCAATATTAGGCTATCAAGTCCATGTATTTTTCTAAATAAAACTTGCAGAAGAACACAAAACAAACTTACCTCTAAGGAAACGAGCCAGATTGTCACGCCTGAAAAAGGGATGAATAAGGAGCTTTTCACCTCTAGGCCCTGCATAGAACCCCAAAAGAGGCACTAAATTGGGATGTCTAATGCACCCCAGCAACTGAACCACATCACCAAAATCTTCGACTCTTGCTGTACAAACTGGCCTCAAGAACCTAAGCAACCTCACACAGTTACTCCTCTGCAAGAAGGCCTTGTATAAAGTACCATAGTTGGATTTCCCTATAACTTCTCCTGGTGCATCAAGAATGTCACTTATTGTTAAGTCTTGGCCACCTTGAAAAGCCACAAAGTCCTCTGTTGTCTCTGTCCCATGATCTCCATGCTTCTCCTCGGTGTTTTCTATGTCACTACACTTCTCTTTTTCTGCCCTTCTTCTCAAGTAAACAAAAACCACAACTACAACAATGAACAAGAAAATCCCTAAAGTTAGCCATACTAAAAGTTTTAGCCTCTGCCTGGTATTAGACATTGTGACCAGAGTAGCAGGTATGCGTTTACAAGAACAAAGAAAGAAGATCTGGGATGCAGAGAGATTGAAAAGCGTTAGGTGTAAGAAGTGTGGAAAAGTGTGAAAGAGAGGACAACAAGATGAAGATAGAATTGAACTTTGTTGCGAGGGTGTGGAACCCAAGATTTATTATGTGAAAAAAAAGTTAAAAGGAGGAAAAGAAAAAGGTTAAACTAGAATGAAAATGGGCCTTGGATCAAGATTAAAGAGGCATTTTTGTACTGAATCTTCAAAAGAACATGAAGTAGAAGAGAAATTGTGGAAATGTCAGGACTGCAGTTGCAGAAGTGAATCTAATGAGACGCTGTCAGACAGATCTAGGCTAGCCATGTGATGTTTTGTCTGTGTTGACTGTTTTGTAGATGTGAAGTTCCGCTCTTCTAACCATGCCATTGTATATGGATTTTTTTGCTTTCATAATCATTGGCTTTCGTTTCATAATTTTATTTTATTTGTTCCTTTTTTTTTTCCTTAAGAAAGTCTAAAATGCATATGCATTGCATTGAACGTGGGTGCAAAATTTATGATCATCAAAACTATGGAATTTTAACAAAATGTTACGGGGATCGTCGATGCTGAATATGCTATGTAGCAATATATTTTTTTTTTACTGATATCATGATTAGTAAGGTATTTTTAAATTATTTTATATATTAATGGAGATTAAATTTATTATTAATTTCGTTAAGTTAGTATTAGATAACATTTAGTATTAAATCGATTCTAGAAATCAGATTTTTCGAAACTTTTGATTTGATGAGTTAGAACATATTTTTTTACCACTCCACTTGCAACCTTCAATGATGTCTAATGATACCATGTAAAAAATTATTTTTTGCATCCATATTTTTGTGTTCATTTTTAGAACAAATCTCAAAAACACTATTCAACTATATATAACTGTATAGGTAGGTTCTGTATTAGCACCAAATAATTTTTGGCATCAATTTATCTTCAATTTTTTAAAAAAAATTAAATAAATAAAATCTTCCGTCCGTTTTTTTATTTTTTTGTATATATTTCCATCTAAATTGTACAATTTTTTTATATATAAAAGAGGACATCAATTTATAAGGACTTAAGGTTTTTTGTTAAGTAATTATAACAGAAGTTCTTAATTGAAAAATTAAAATAATTGAATAATAAAATAGATACCAAAAACCCAATATATTATATAAATACAAATTAAGTTGTTCATAAAATAAAATAAAAACAAAAACGAAAAAACAAACATCCATAGGATATTACCGAGATTTTCTCCATATTTTTTAACAAAGAAAATCACAAAGTCTATACCACAGGTGGGCCATTCAGAGAATGTTATGCGATCATATATCTAATACAAAATTCCATGGCCGTATGATGTAAGGACCCTCCAACTCACCTTTGACTTTCATGGCTGAGGTGGGACCAGTGACCACGCGGGCAAATCAGGCAATCAATTCATATAAACACAAAGAAGAATCTAACATGATTTCTCACCATCTGATTAATCTCCACTTCAATCATAACATCAAAAATCATTCTCACACGGTAGACATCAATGCATCATGGAGCTCAACATTAGATAAACGAATCATGTCCCTGCACGTGTTTGAGAAGAAAAAGGAAGTACCGTGATCTGATATAAATGTAACACATTTGAGAAAGTAGCTGTAATTAACGGCGGAGATGGATGAGTTTGGTGGTTAGGTAGACCCCACAGACAAATGCTCAAGCTCTTGTTAGATGCCCTTGATCATCAAACGGGGTGGGACCTTTGCCATTACGTGAGATCTAATACAAAAGTGTCTGACACATATTGGCCCACATGGTTCTTTTTATGAGTAAATTATAAACTATTCCTTGACACGAATTGATTGGTCCTTTTTATTTTTAATTATTTAATTTTTTTTATTAATGTTAAACACGTTTAATTTAGTATTATTTTATTTCATAAAATATTTTTTTATTCATAATTTCATTATTTATTTATTTATTTATTTCTTAAAACTGAAAATTAAAATAAATTAAAAAATAAAAAATATTAAATTACATAAAAATTTAAAAATATAGAAATTAAATAATTTATTTTTTAAAATAATATGAACTAATTAATTCGTTTCCCGAAACTAAAACTAATTTGTAATTTACTCTTCTTTTTTTAATTCAATTTTGCTTCTATCATCTGTATTTTTTTAATAATAATTAAATTCATTCTTCCATCCGATCAAATGAAAAATAGTTCATAAAAAAGTTATTTTCTTACGACATGATATTTGAATTCTAATAATTAAAAAATATATATATGCTACTTAATTATCAGGTGAATTTCCCTGAGTTTATTTCTATTTCTTCTCTGGGATCATGAAAATTGCATTTTATTTTCGCATCATTAAAATATTCCACATGATAAATTAATTGTAGCAACATTAATTGCTTGACAAAGTTCACCTAATTTGGCTGTCTATTTTATAATCAACATGTGAGAATTTTAATTCCTTAAAATAAAATCTTATAATATGGTTATATCATTGTCATTTAAATATAGTAATTATCATCTCTTCTAACCGAAAGAAATTGTGAATTCAAACTTCACCTATCTTTTTTTTTTTTTTTTTTTTTTTTTGGGTTAAATGACCAGAGGTTTTGTAACTTGTAAGCTTGGTAAGGTATGGTTTTCATTATGTCACAAGATGTTTTTGTTAGGTACAATATGTGATTGTATACCTGCATGCCAAATTAATTAATGGAGGTGTAGTTTTGGTATAGAATTGTCTAAAATATTTATCCCCAAACTATCACGTGATTGTCAACTAGATCTCTAAATTAAAAAAAAAATCAATTAGATCCTCCATTTCTTCAACATTAACTAATTAAACCAGCCATTAAAAACGATGTAAAAAATGGCATTGTCTTAAGACAAATAGGTCTTCGTCATTTGTTACGATCTCAGAGGCACAAACTTTAGGAGAGGGTTAATTTGATAATGTTCAACAGATAGAGGATCTAATTGGGAATCAATTGAGAATTGGATGATAGTTGAGAATAAATACATCCATTGTCCAAAGCAGAGGATATAAATCAAGGACTGTTGTAATTTAAGTGCAACTAAGTGTAATTGATTTTTATTTTTTTCCTAAAAAAAGGTATAATGGATTAATAGAGTGATTCATCCTTGTTTTTTTTTTTTTTTTTATAGATTTTTTTATAAGGTTTTTCTATTTTTTAAATCTTCTTAACATGACTCTTTCTATAAAATTATATCTTAATCTTTTGGATAAAAGTACAAGCAAATTGACATGTCAATCCATCTGTTATTTTTATTTAAAAAATTAGAGATAATCCCATCAAAGAACCACCTTTAAAAAATGTAAAAAAAAAAAGAATGGAAAACGCCTATAAATAAAATAAAAGATCACATTGAAAAAAAAAAAATCTAAAAACTACAAAGGAAGAATCATTCTATCCATCCATTTAATAATTGGATTCATGGAAAGTGATATGATTAAATATAAGCAAATAGTTGTTAGTATGTATAGAAATCACATGGATCGCTGTGGACAGACCATCCAACTCAATCCTCCCTCCATATATGTCCAAATAAACAAGTAATCATAACCACTCAAATCAACTTTATAAGTTGTCTTATTTATTTATTTAATGTTGCATAATCAACCTCAAAATATCAAAGAATCATGCATGCCTCGCGAATCACGAGGCCACCACCAACACAAACAAGGGGGAATAAGCCAATACGCTTATTGAATCTTTTTATTGGCCAAGTTGTTGGTGGTTTTTTTTTTTTTGGTTTAAAATGTACGTTCGAGGAAAAATATATGACAATAATAAAAAGATTATTGCCATATTATTACAATATAATTTTCTAAAGTATCACACGTAAAAACTTACAAAATAAATTCTCTTTTGGTGTTTGAAGAATTTTTGGATGGTTAAGTTAATATTTGGAGAAAAGTGTTTGACAATTTTCCATATCAAAAAGATATCTGCATTGATCTGACATGATCAATTTTAAACCGTAAGAGATTAGTTGTGATATACATAAAAACCTCACAAATACTCCACTGTGTATTATACACAAAGATACTCATGGTTTATATACTATAATATCATTTACTAATGTCTCTCTACGTCATCGTTTTGTCCCAGAATCAGTTCGGCTGTCAAATTGATAAGAGTCATTAAGCATCTATTTTCGACCATGAAACGAAACTCGAAACTCACAACCTAATTTTAAGTCTAGCCAACGTTAATGGTTTTTAATGACTTTGAAAAGCAGGCGTATCCTTTTGAGCAGCCACCTAAATGTAGATACACTATTTGCAAACCAAGAATTGGGGCTCTTACGGCAAAAGTGGGGATGTGGTCCTCTCTAATGATACAGCTGAAAGGTCAGCATCTTGGTGCCTCTCTTCATGGCAAAAGTAGTTAGCATATTTACGTCTCTAGACTTGGAAAAAAAAAATAGACATAATTATTTTTTAAAGTAAAATAGTTGATCTCAGTCAATTTTGTTTTAAGATGTGATAAAACAAGTCTGTCTATCAAAGAACCAAATGAAGAACACAGAGGCCAAGGAGCCAATTGGTTCGACAGTTCGAGAAATTCGAAGGCTTGTGCAGAATAATATTACAAGGAACATTTGCATGGCATCGTAAATTACCTGGTAAAAGAGAATTTAAATGCCTTTACAATTCACAATATTAGATTCTTGTTTATTATGCAAGTACTTATTCAGAGTAAAATGATTTTAGAAGAATTCTGGCTAGGTCAAGGGATAAAATACATAGGATTTGGAAGCTTGAATGAGCGATTTGACATGGAGGATCCCAATAAATCACTCCACTGATCTCCAGAGTTTCCGATGATCTTATATCCCTCTTTCACCATCTCATCTCTCTTATCTGATTTGTATACTGTTGCCAATTTCTCATGATCCTCAGATCCCCTGTTGGATAGAAAGAAGAAGACTTCATTACGCTATCGGCAAAAGTACAGTAACTCTGAGTTATTACAAAGCTAATGCTATAAAAGTTGTTCTTTGTGATAGAAATTTCAATGTCTCTCATGATTAAGAGAATAAAAGAACAGGAAAAGGAAGACAGATGAAGAGAATTAACCAAAGAAAATGCCAAACTATCAGTATGGAAATTTCTATGATGTGTCATCAAAGCTACTTCATCCTTTCCTGTTTATCGTCAATGATTAAACATGAAAATCATGCACATACACAATCATTATTTCAAGTTCCTAACCGAAACAAACACTGATGAAGATCACATGTATGCTAATTGACTAGTTCTAATGAGAGTCTCTACCATGTAGCCAACTGTTCGTCAATAAAGTTGCCAGTTCATTAGCCTAAGATTGACCGATAAAATTTGGCACCTTTACCAGTAATGAACCACATTAGCCCGAGAAATAACCAAAAAGGGCAGCCTGGATCATATAATTCAAAATTTTAGGTGTGTTGGTTTGCTTTAAAAGTGGTTTCTTGTTTTCGGATAAGCATGCAATCCAGATCTTTAAAAACAGCATTGTAAATATTTCTCTTATAAGAATATTTTCAAGGAGTATCAAAACAAATTCTATTGGTTTACGTTAATAGCCTACTGTTTTCCTTATTTCCTTTTAGGTAAAAGAAAACCACCACAGCATCTCCCTACTGGATCTCATCATTTTCTTCTAGAATGGAAAGTATGATTTCAAAAATGAACATTAGAATAGGACCCTAACAACAAAACCCTTTAATTCTTGGCATTCGTGAAACAAACTAGAACGTGGAAACCTTTGGCTTGACAGCGGTATCTAATATTGGTAAGAGATTAGAGAATGGCCTAGGTTTAAAATTAACCAATTTGGATTGTTCCAAGATCCCATCCAATCCCCCATCAAAGTTGAACTGAAGTTTTTTGAAGCAGAATTCCATGGAATCTTCCTAAAAGTTAGGTAGGAAACAACACAGCCTGCAACCCTTGGACCAAAAACAGAATTGGCATCCCTAACTGTAGTGTTCTCCCGAAAGAGATACATTTTCAGTATTATCCTTAGATATGTTACGAGATTCCTCCTCCAACATCTAATGGATTGCTAAATTGGCCTCCCTTGAAAGGATTCGATCCTTCCATAACCAATCAACGCACAAATACCTATGCATCTGTGTACTAGTCGAAATACTATAACATATGAACAAACTGGCAGAAAATGGCATAGTAAGGCAACATTCATATCCATTTTTCCTTATAACATGTAAATACCAATCAAAGTTCCAATATTCGCAATCACAAAAAGGCCTTCATGCTCACCTTAAAATAAGCTTATCCCAATTCTGAAACCCTGCATTGATCAAGTTCTCCTCTGTCACATTCCTTTGCTTCTCGCTGCGTCCAGTCAGCAAAAAAACCTGGAAGCCCATACCCATAATCTCATTGTAGAGTTTCAAACTCGGCTCTAGAGGAGGTGCAAGAGCCTTGCCAACCCACTTATCAAACTCCACTGGATCAAAAATCTCCAAGCTGCAAAAGCCCGCCACAAGAACTATTTTCTTAGAAAACTCCACATCAATTAACAATTAGTTGAAAAAAAACCCATAACAGGTAATCAAACCAAGATGAATGAAAAAGCTATCCATCAAATCAACCCGACCCTTACTAGCTACACCTAATATGGTTCCTGAGGTGCCGATAAATCAAAAGAAAATTACTCAAAAATCATGCGCTCTACCATATTCAGTATCCAAACACTAACTGCATTAAGTAGACACAATTCATTTTTTTAAATGTTTTGCTTTCTCAAGTCCTACATAATCCAAATCGTACCAACCAAATAGAATTCCATAAAAATATCAAAAAATTCAAGTTATTCATGCTTATACTGCTTTCTCAACATCCAAACAAACACTCAACAATAATAAAACAATAATGAAAAACCCAAAAAAAAAAAAAAGGAAAAGAAAAGGAAGCTTACCCATAACCATGATCTGCATAATAAGGCAGATGAGAAAGCAAAGTCTCATCAACATCAAAAACCCAAACATCTTTCCCATCACCACTCAATTCCACACTTTTTGCATAAACCCCAGCTTCATTAGACACCCTTTCTAAATCCAATTTATAACCTCTTCCAAGCATGTAATCTTCCACGTATTCTGCACACTCCAGGGGAATTTGTTTCCATGGATTCAAATTATTGGCTTCAACAGCAAATCTCCAGCTTGTACACTGTAATTTGACTTCATTGTCAAGTTCCCTCAAATGAGTTGTTTCTAGAATCAAGGGTCTTGGAAGAATGTGAGAATTGGATTGCTCATTGGATAAAGCAAGAGAAAACAATGAGATAAAAAGGAAAAGTCTTGGTAAAATCATAGTTGGATTTGAAATCAGAATGTGACGAAATTAAGAAAAATAATTTGATGGGCTGTTTTGTACCGTAGAATTAGATTTATAAACAGTGAAAAATTTTGATTCTTTTAAGGAGTTGAATTGATGGGCCGTTTAGAATTTGATAAAAAAAAAAAAAAGTGAAAGTTGAAGTCTTGAAGATTTCTTATCTTCTCTTTTCTTAAGGTTTTGTTCGGAGAAAAAGGAAAAAGATTGCTTCTTTAGGAAAGACGATAAGAGAGAAAAAGCTGTGTAGCAAAAGAAAACCCAAAAGGAACAGTATTCTTGCAGATTTTTGGATGGTCGGTGGCTTGAGCGAGGAAGACAGCTTTGCTGGATTTGAATATTCGGTTTTGCAGTTTTCGAAGTTCTTTTTTCTCTTGTTGGGTTGTTGGATATGGAGGGAAAGGTAGGGGAAGAAATCGGGTTTGGGTTTTATGTGATGCGGAGTGGCTTATGTGGCTGTGTGTGATTGGAGGCTTATGTGGCTGTGTGTGATTGGATAGAAGACAAAAGAGTGAGACATATTTAATTAAGAGTTAATTAGTCCCTGTAATTTATTAACATTAACTGATTGGTCTTCATGGTTTCATAAATTATATATTTAAATACTATTTTTTAAGTTCCATTTATAACTAGCAATTTTCATATGTTTCATCCTATTTTTTAATTTATGTTATTTTTCTTAAAAAATAAAAAATAAAAATAAAAGGAGAAAAATAAATAAATAATATAAAAAAATGGTGAATTTTTTTTTCATTTTATTTTGTTTTGAGAAATAGAAATATCAAAAAAATAGAAGTAAATAATATAAAAAGATTGGCGAGAAAAAAATGTATTTTTTGAAATAAAATATTGCTAAAATAAATATAATCAATACTCGTCAAAACTAATGGATTAGTTTTTAAATTAGAAAAATTATTTAATACGTTTTTTTTAATCAAAACTAAAGAAATTTATTTATAATTTACTCCTCTCTTTTTTTATGATAATGGCTATATTCATTTTATTTTTATTATTTATGGATCTTAATTGGTTTCTATACCTAGACTTTAAGTACCCATTATGTTTTGAATTAATGGAGTAATTTAATCATTAAGATATTCTCGAACAAAATTTCTTATAAATTCATCATCGTGTTATAGGTAAGTTGCAGGAAAAATCCATTATTTTATTGTGTGTGCAGGCAATTATTCATTGCAATTGGAAAATGCTCAAGCTAACCAGCTAAGAATAATAAAGGTTGATGATCTTTTGTGGAATATACCCAATATTTTGAAACGATCTAATAGTAAGTAATATCGATGTAAAGAGGCAAAATTTTAATTTTCTAAAGAAAAAGACATTGAGCCAGTTATGCAGATTTCATGAGCATGCGTATTGGATGAATTTCTTGAGGATTTAAGTTTTTATTTATGATAAAATAACAGTTAAAAGCAAATATCTTACTTAATAATGGAGCTTTTATTTTTTAAAAAATAAAATCAACTTAAATTTTTTAGTCTTTCAAGGAAAAAATAAAATATGGATCATTGAAAAATTAAAACATTTGCATGCTTGTTATTATCTATATGAAATTTTCATAGTAATTTCATTGATGATATAAATCAAACAAGTACATCATCATTTTTTATACACTACTATCCTAAAAATGAGAAAACAACAACTTGAGTGCTCAATTTTATTTATTTATTTATTTTTTGTGTTTTTTTTTTTAAGTGTTCAATTGGTAATTTTTTTATTTATTTAAGTATCCACAATCATCTCGGGTTTGAAAAATATTGATTTGTTTGGAATGAAATGTCACATGATAGTTTTTAACAAATATGTGACAAAAAGTGAATCCCACTTAGATTATTTAGAAAAAAAATACAATTTGAGTGTCTAACCTTTGATTATTTTTCTGTTTAATTTGATTTTTTCTATTTGAGTTTTTTTAATCACTTAAAACTGAAAAATACAAAGATAATTGGGATTCACCAATACGCAACAATCTTTAATTAACACATAATAGAAAGTAGGTCTCACTCAAAATTATTGATAAAAAAATAAAAAAATTATAAACCTTTTATAGAAAAATAGTTGGCAAGAATTAAAAAAAAAATCAAAAGCAATAAAAAAAATTGCAACTTGCTATATTGAAAAAGTTTGACAAAACTCTTTTACAATAATGATGTATAATTGATTTTCTAGATAATAAATAATCTCTTTATAAATGTTACTCAAAGCTCATTGAACCTTTTGATAGAAACTATCTAACTTGAGAATTTTTTTTATATATATATCGCGCATACAGCAAAGTTTAGCATCACCACAAATTAATATAGGAACAAGACATATTATTAAACTCTATTTGCGGAAGATATCAACCATCTAAATCTCTAAAAAAGTATTAATCTTTTTCAACCAACAATAGGCAAAAGAATACCAAAACTTTATTCAAATGATAAAACAACCTAACAAAGTATTATGTACACATAAAATCCAGATATGATTAGTTAATATCCTAAAAAAACAAAAAAAAATATAAAAATGAAAAAAACAAAAAAGAAAAAAGAGATGAAAAGGCGACCGTAACATTGTTAAAATAAAGAAGCAATTCAAATTAATCAATAAATAAATAATTTTAGGAAAAAAAACAAGAAAAAAATAAAATATGGGAGGAAACTAACAATTCAAACAAAATTCTATTGCTTTCATTACAATCCAAATCTTCAAAATCTAGAGTAAATGAAAGACCGTAACAGATGGAAGCACAATAAACTTACCTTAGAGTACAGCAAATACGACACCGTATTCAAGCCTTGGAGTGAACTCGCCTCGCCTCCGGTTCATTTGAAATGCAACAACACTGCAATGACGGGGCTGGAAAGTTGTGAAGTATTTAGTTTATGCATTGAATATAAATTTATCTTGGAACAACCTTGTCTAATATCATCTATAAAAATATTATATATAATTTTTTTTTAATAATATTCATTATCTATCTATCACTTATTTATTTTTAAAATTTCGTTGACTAAAGTTTGATTAAGTTTATCTATATTTTATTAAAATGATTTTTTACATATACGGGCTTTTGCAAATATTTTTATTCAGGACAAATAGTACATACCATAAAATCAGAGGACCAAAAAAATTTCAAATAAGGATTAAAATGTCATTAACAATAAAATATAGAGACTAAAATAAATTATTAAAAAAATTTCAAAGACTAAAGTGAACCTTTGTGGAAAGCTCAATTATTCTTTTCTCATCCGGACAAACGCTCCAAATATGCTTTATAGAAATAAAATAAAATAAAATAAATAAATCTTTTCTCCAGGAGTTCTGTAGTCCATGAATTCATTAATTACAAAAATACAAAGAATATAGAAGGAAAAAAAAATTGAATCTGTGCGTAGTGCATAAATATAATTGAAAAAAAAAAGACAAAAAAAAAAAATTTTGGAATTCGAGATTTTTTGGAGAAAAAAATAAGCTAACACCAGTTAAATTTGATGAATATATATATATATATATATATATATATATATATATATATATATTAGAAACTAAAAGTACTTGTCAAAGAAAATAACCTCCACGCTGGCATACGCAATCAATCAAATTGGATCCATTAATTTTAAGTTTTTGGTGGATTTGCCCCAAATTTCTATTTTAATGTGTGTTATTTATGACTTGATTAAAATTTATCAGGGTTTCTTGCAAACTTTGATTTGGATTAATTGAAAATACGCACCTTTTCAAAATTAGATGATTATAACTTAATTAGAAAATTTCAAATTGGGTTCCAAATTCAGCTATATCAGGAGTAAATTATAATTTAAAGAATATCTTGACTGTGTATTTATAAAACTAAATGATACTAGTAAATTTTATTAGTTTTATAATAGAACTGTATTTACTTTAAAATTTCAGTTTTTCTATTAATTTTTTTAATACCACAATCACTTATATCTTTTTTACTATAATTATAATTGATGAAATTATTTTTAACCATTTTGAAAAATTAAATATTTAAAATTTTTATATATTATTTTAATTCTTTATTATTATTTCAAACATAATATAAAAATGTTAATAATATCATTCTAATTCCTGTATTTTCATTTGAGACTTTTTATTCTTCGTAATTAAAGGACACCACATGCAGGACCATTGAAGTTCAAGTCGAAGAATATTTTCGAGTCATCCATATTCCAAGCTATCACCAACCCTTAGTTTTGAACAATCCTACGCAAATTCTTCTCGTCCTTGGATCTAACAAAAGATCGCCATATGATCCATTCATCGTCAATATGGTCAGAGGAAACTAAAGTTACAGTTCAGTCTCTTGATCAATAGTATTATACTTGAAGGTTTGCACCAAACTACTATCAAAACAACTCAATAGCCCAACACTTTGTCATTGCAGTCTGAATTTCATGTACAACTGTGGTAACTTGTCCACATACCTATATTAGTACTGCTACCGGCGAACTTTACATTTACACGAACGGCTTTTTCTAAGGGATTCTAAAAGCAATTCCTTATGTGTTAACCTGAAGAATGAATGTGGAGGATGTCATGGGTTTTTGGACTTCCACTCCATAACAGCAGATAGAAGGGTGTAACTGGGTAAGAGATTCTTATTTGGCAACGGCAAATTCGTCATTGGCGACTTATCATTCTCTTCAAGCCACTTCTGAATTGCTTTGCGGTCGTAAGTATAGCCATCCGCAGCAACGCAGGGATCGTTCATTAAATCCTGTAAGAGAAACAGCATAAGACTAGCTATTCTGCACACTGTTTTTTGTGTCAGTTTCTTCTGTTTTTACTTGAAAATAATAATAATAATAACAATAACAATAGGCATGAGGCAACACATACCTTAAGTATTGGGCAGATTAAGTGGTTAGGAGGTGTCAACTGTAAACTGGAAATTGAATCTTGGGCTCTACCAGCAACCTCCTTCAATCTCTCCAATGTAGGAAGTACTACGT